GGGGGCTGTCATTCTCGCGTGCGAGGCGCCGATACGCGCGAGCGAGACCGGCCGGGGTTTGGGCATTCCATGCACGCAATACACGTCGTTAACACACGCACCCGCGCTGATTAATTACCTTTGACGATGATGCGCAGCACGCAGCTGGCCTGCTTCTTCGATACCGGGTGTCGCGCGAAGAACGTGATCTCGTGCACGCCGGGCTTCAGATTGGCCTCGAGCCTGGTGCCCCATGCGGGCTTCGACCGCACGTATCGGAACCAATCCAGGTCGGTTGCCGGTTGGTCAAAAGTCACGAACGCCTCGCCGCCGCCCGGTGGTAGCTCGGCGACGACGTCCTTCGGACACTCCAATCGGGGCTTGCTGTATCCTGAGCAGAAGACGCGAAAGACGCGCGATATTCGCTCTAATCGATCCCTTTCTCTCTCTCTCTCTCTTGACACGAAAACGGACGGACATCTCGTCCTCTTTTCCATTTTTCACCGAGAGAGAGAGAGAGAGAGAGAGAAAAGAAAAATAGATTCGCACGAGCGCACGTCTCTTTGGGAATATTCATGGAAATATTCACGGGGAATTCCATCCCTCTTCCTTCGCTTCTCCTAGCTTCTCTCGCTTGCTTGTTTTATTGGGAATTCGTTTAGCCGATATTTATATCATGTGTCAAATTACGCTCCATTCGGACGGCTGCGTGTTAAAGGAGATCGAGATCGAAAGAGAAAGAGAAGGAAGGAACAAGAGCGTTATTCGCCGTCGATTTTCCGCGCTGAGAAATTGACGGACGATACGAGTTTCCTTATGAATGGTGAGGGGGAGGGTATCTATACTCACTGATGCATTTTCCATACTTCGGTCCGTCCCAGGTGCCGTCGGAACGGCAGGTCAACTCGTACTCACCGCGAAGCTGATAACCGTGAGGGCACTTTAGGAAGCACCTCGTGCCGGGTCGATTCGGCACTTTTCGCCTGTCGCGCCACAGCTTGGACGTGGCCGATCGGGAACATATTAAGTAACCGCGATTGACCGGGCTCAACGGTAGGCACGAGATGGTATTTATGTCTGGAACGAGGAGTGAAACATAAATCACGGCTGTGAGAATAATGATAATAATGATCATTAATGCCCGAACAAGCGTCGGTCGTCCAAGGTCCTCGTTTTTCGGAAGGTATTTACATCGAGAGAAGGCAGAACGCGAACGAGGGGTAAAGAGGGTGCTTAGTTACAAATATCTAGGCAAGTATCTCGCAACTTTTTCTTCCACATCTCGTACGCGATAGAAAAATCTCTCTCTTGAGAATTGAAGGTAAAAACAATCAAATTCCACTGAACGCGTTTCGAAACAGAAGAAAATTGTCGCGACCTTTTTCTCCGACTGACCTTATTGACGTGCGAACTCCTCGTTCCTCGGAATATATTCGCATCGCATTGAGGGGGAGCAACGCGAACAAAGACACATATTTTCCCCGAGCCGAGCTTCGCACTCGCGAGGCGTCGATTTCTCGATAGTCTCATCGCGACGACGTTATCTCGGCGCGAAGTGATTCTTCCCCGCGTGATGCGCCGTTCACGCCGGCGAGAGACTATTTCTCAACGACGATGAGCGATTATTCGTTTAAATGGAGCGCGGAAAGAAGGTGGTGCTGCCTTCTTCCCGGCTCGGAGATTATCTCGTATTACTGCCGGGTAGAGGGGAGGGGAGGATAAAACACCGGATTCTGCTTATTCACTGCTATATCCTGTCCCACAGTTATTCGTCGTGCTTACGCACGGAGTTATACCTACCTGTCCTAAGCCAACACACGCGCAGCCTGCGAGCGGCGCGAGTCTGGCATTCACGTATGCTAGGCCTCATAAACCTCGCAGACCTGCCTAATCTATGTACGCAGAGGCTCAAAAGCGGAATTCCCCGCATCGACGGCGCGGCATTATGTCAGGCCGCCGCGACGACGCTTCTCTACGCGATATGTACACAAGGCAGAAATTACAAATGCCAATGGCGGCGACGGTGGCGGGCGGGGATAGGGGTGGGTAGGAAGAGAGAGGACTATCCGGGCGGGCGTATCCGTGGAAGTCGCTGCCGCGTGACAGCTTTGCATAATGCCGCGATCGCGGATGCGTCGCCGCGCTGGCAGCGCTCTGCGGAGGGAATCGCCGTTGACGCGATTCCTCAGCATTTACGCGGCTCAACTCGGGGCTCAAGGTCGAGCCGGAAGGGGTCGATTAAAAAGCCGACGCGACACTAAAGAGTGACGTTGCGTAAAAATTTCCCCGGAGACTCGGATTCGATCGGACGGAATTCGCCCCGGACGAGTTCCGCGGAATGGTGCCCCCCCCCCCCCCCCNCCCCCCTCCCCGATCCCTTCTCTCCTTCCCGCGCGGGCGTTCGGTCGTTCAATCATCTCGCGTTGCCGCGCGCGTCGTGTTGACGCGTCGTCCCGCGCGTCGGAAGAACGGAGGAACGAAGCGCGGAAAGTGATTTGTCAAGGAACACGTACCTACGCAGGATTTCCCATCGGATGACAGGGCTTTCTCGTCGCCGTCGCACGCGCAGAAAAAGCTCCCGTCCGTATTCTCGCAGACCTCCGTGCAGCCGCCGTTATCAACCGTGCACTCGTTGATGTCTGGATAGAAAAGAACGGGGTCTGGGTAAAATCTCGGTCGGGGACTCTTCGGGAATTGACTTTCATCTCAACTCGGATCTAAGCTGATCGATCGTTCGATCGGCGGAATTAGTCGACTGCAATCTTCAACTGTGCGCAACTCGCACTATGGGTTGTCCGAGTGCAATCGTGAAATCTGATAATTCGACGGTACACTTGAGAAAAATGCTGCGTTCAAGTAAATATTCACCGAGGAGTATTGCGGTAATTTATTTGATTTGGATTGAGTAAATATTACTTGTGAGTGTAGCGCTTTTCTCCCCCCCGGCATAAAGCAGGCGATACTCGAGTGATAGCGATTTTAAATACATATTACGAAGAGAGAGGGGAAAGAAGTTCTTTACTTGTTTTAACGATGATAAACCCATCGTTTCTTCCTGTTGGCAGCTTTGCAAGCTGTGTTAATCGCCGATTAGCTTAATCAGAATACGACGAGAGCCACCGTTATCACGGTATGTTAATCAAGATTGATTATACCGAAAGAAAATCTAAAAGTGTTATATCGTTTCATTGATCCTGCGAAGTAGCTGATACGACGACGACGACTACTGCATCTTGATCCTTGCGATTAATTTACCTTTACACTCCCTTCCTTTATATTCTTCTCCAAGTTGCTACGAATATAAAGTGACTGCGTCAGCGGCAGTTGATTTGCAAGCCATGAATAATTTTACAGACGTAAGTTATCTTTGATCTTAAGACTGACTTGACGTGCGCTACGCGTCGCACCCCCGGGTAGTCCTGTGAACGTCGCGCACTGTCAGACAATATCCGTCCTTAAAGATCGGGGGCCCCGGATCGTTTATATCACATCGAACGTTATACAAAGCTTCTTTCACTCGCTCGTAATGACTCCTTCACCGCCAGCGATCTCTCGCCGCGTTCTTTGGCCCCCGATCTGTCTTTCAATCGTCGGCAAGATTACCGGTTAAATTGACCGAAGTGGTCAGATTGCCATTGCCCCGCGAGCACTCTCTCACTCTCTCTCTCTCTCTCTCAATGATAGCCGAGAGCACTCAGCTTTCGTTGCTTTCACGGCGTATAAATCTGCACGGGAGTCTACACACACACACACAGGGTGTCCCGAAGCCTTAATCCCAGGCACTGAATCCTTTGACCAGCTCCGCAACGGATCTTTTCTACTTTGGCGCACCTATCTACCTACCTATCTACCTTTGCTTTTACGAGCGTGCTTCCGGCACTTGTCGAAAATGAAGATGGAGATTTCTCGGACACCCATTACGCGGACCGTCGCAAATTATCCGACGAGCGAGCCGACGTTATGCCAGCACGTTGGGAAAAGAAGCGACGTGCACGGAAAATATTATAATATCATCGTTCGGAATTCCGCGTCGCGAAAATCTTCCATTTCACTCCTGTTTCAATATCCACGCTCCGCTTTAATATCCCTATTTTAATATCGCGTTTTGTAATAAATCCTTCGACATGAATTCCCTCCGTGAAAATGGCAGTATATAAAACGCCGAGTTTATTTATTCGTTCGGAACGAGGAATCTTACTATCACGCGCGAGAATTCCTCGCGTCGCATCCGAGAAAATCAGCTGTTTCGTAGACTCGCAAAAAAGAGAGAGAGAGAGAGAGAGAGAGAAAGCTGAGCAAGAATTTCTTTCACCGACGCTCTAGTTTTCCCAGAAATCTGCTTGTATACCCTTTCAGCCAACACCTCGGCGGTTCTTTTCAAGCTTTCCGCACGCCGGAGATTGTAGGGTCATCACGATAGTCCACTTCGCCGACGGGACAAAACGTGGGCTACGCTTTTCGCGAGAAAAATTACAATTTCGCTTTTGATACGCCCGGAATCATAGGGGGAGGATTTTCATAAAGATGACATTTCCCGCGAAGCCCGGACCCGCTCGCGCGTTCTTTAATCACCGGCCTTTCATTTTCCGCGCGAGTCGACGATGATCAAACGTAACGTGAAGACACAGAGAGACAGCGCGAGCCTGCCGACCGTGGAAGGAGGGGCAGGGGGGAGACAAAGCTCCGGTGTTTCCGACTAATTGATCATCGAGGAACGAGATGAAATCACGGGAGCAACTCGGCAGGCAACCAACGCGTTTTCACACGTCTTACGTGTGCGCATACACACGGAGCGCACTCGTTTCCGCCTCGGTACGTACCTCGCGATGCGAATTATCGCGGAATTCCGTTCACGTAACACTCTCCTCCCCCCGCTATTTAACTACCTGGGGTAGTTTGGTGAGAAAAAGGTATAGTCGGAAATGGATTAAATTTCCGTAGAATAAGACTCGCACGAGGCGCGGAAGCGCGAGCGAACGTCCCGTGACGCTCTGTATCAACCAGGCTAGTAACGCTCCAGTCGGTATTCACCGCCGCATCAATTGTAATTGAAGGATTTACGCCCCACGAAATTGAGTTGTCAGTTACGAGCTACGGAATGTCTGCACAGTCGTATCGGATAAGGTGCGCCGCAAGGTGGGGGGTGATCTCTTTCTTAAATTTCCATCGACCGGCCATACCTCGGCGAGAGAGAGAGAGAGAGAGAGAGAGAAAGACCGAGAGAAAGAGAGAGAGAGAAAGAGAGAGAGATATATATTTGTTTGTTATGTGTGCGCTCTGGGAAAACTTCCCCTCGGGCACAATAATAATAATAAAACCAAAAGTCACTAAGTGAAGACAGCAGAGATACGAAAGGATAAATAAAGGTATAGAGAGATCTAGTGAATGAAAATATAAAATAAAATACAAAAGGGAGGGGAGAGATAGATAGGTAGAGAAAAAGAGAGAGAGAGAGAGAGAGAGAGAGTAGCCGAACGCGCGCGTCAATGCACGCGTTTTAAAAGCAAAAAACTCGTACATCTGTTCACTTCCGCGCGATATAACGGTAAAAAATAATATCACCATTATATTTCGCGCATCCCCGGGACGAGCGGGGGAGATTATCGAAAATCGGCAGGAACATCCCTGAAAATCACGCGCGTGCTCACGCACGCTCGCGCGAGAGAAGCCATCGCGCGCGTGCCATCGCGATAAATATGCACAGATAAGCTAGAGCCCGCGAAAGCGTCCCGTATAAAATTTCGATGAAAGCACCGCGTTTTCGATCGCGTTTGTGCGCATCGGCAAAACGGATTGCAGCGTGGGGCCTGCATTTGCAAGCGGCGCGGAGAGTCTCCGGGATATTTGAAGGTATTGGGGAAACTCAGGAGGCTCCTAAGAAGGTTACTCTCCCGAGGAATGCACGATTGGCGGAAAAGAAAAGGCTCTCTCACATTCTGATATTCTCTCTCTCTCTCTTTCTCGTCCTCTCGCTTTTCCCTTCATCCTCCCTCTTCCTCTCGTTTCTGTCTCTATCCGAAAGCAGCCGGCGGTGATATAGGTATCGGCCCTTGTGGCATGAGGCACGATTCGACGGAACCTCGCTTACCGCCGCGGAAAAAGCGAGCGAGAGGCAACTCCGCGGATTTCCTCGAGGAAATACTAAAGCTGCCGCCGCACGCTCGCGTTCTCTCTCTCTCTCTCTCTCTGTGTATACTTTCTCGTCGGAATCGTACGGGAGAATTGTCCGAGATGTTTGCGACCGAGGACTTAAACCGCGCGGATGGCTCCGCGCATAGTTTCGCGCGGTGTTCGACATCGCCGCAAGTCATGGAAAAATATTAAGGGGCCGACCGGTATCGATTCGACGACCGAGCGGACACGAGCGCGCGATCCCACCGGAGACGAGACGAGCGGGAGGAAGAGACGATGAAAAGAAGGAAGAAAGAAAGAAAAAGGAGGGAGAGGAAACCGGAAACGAAGAGTGAAGGGTGTAAGAAATACAAAGGAATCGAAACTTGTGCAAATTACACGGTGAAATTCTCGAAAAAGAAAAAAAATAAAACCTAATAACGAGCTCCGTGCCAACAAAAATAAAGCCAGCTTGCGCGCGAGGTAATAGAATTTACAATACAGTTCTCCCCGTCCCCCCCCCCTACTTTTCCTCTCTCTCTCTCTCTCTCTCTTGTCGTAAGAGAGATCGCTTCTCCATTCTCAACGGTAACGCGATGTTCCGGTCTTATTAACGGGAACCTATTAGCTCGACTTGCCTTAAGCAGCCGTACTAACACGCGCAAATTTGTGAAGTGTATTCAGCCGCATGCTAATTCGAGCGCGCGCGCACACATCAGCGTCGTCCAAGTTACGGGACATACAATACGATACGTTTTCGCCGTGTAACGCAATCTCTTCCTCGGAGTTTTATTAAGACTTGTTAACGAGAGACAAAGCAGATCCGCGATGAGATCGTTGTACATATATATATATATATATATATATATATATATATATTATACACGCGGACTTATCGCGGTCACTCCGACTGCTGCTTCCGACACGGACAGACGGAAAGATAGAAACCGAGTTCTCAACTGCCGGTTATCGAACGTGATACGTTCCATCCGGTGGACTGCCGCTAATTAATACACGAGGTAACGAGTTCTGGAAAAAGTTCCGCTGAAAGTTCCACCCCCCTGCGATCGCAGACGGGCGATTAGAGGGGGAGGGAAGAGCGCTTTATACATTATCCGATACCGACTCACCGATGCACGTCCCGTGGGAGGTCTGTTCGTAACCCGGCAGGCAGGTAATGGACAGGCTGTCCAGGACCGGTTGATCCTTCAGCTCCATGGGTTCCGCGCACCGGTAGGAGCCCGGCGTGTTAATGCACCCGTAGCGACACAACTCCGTCTGAAGATCCGGCACCGAGCATTCATCCACATCTGCGGGAAATGACTGTCGTTTGTCAAACGTCTCGATGTTTCCACCCCCCTCTCCTCCTCTTCCGCATGTGGAAATCTCGTGCATACACACGCGCGAGGAACGAGCGAGCGAGGAGATCTCGCTCGCAATGTCGCCGGAACCCGGAAAGCGAGAAGCGCGCAGCGTATACGTTACCTCGCGAAAATCTGTCGCGAACATTCGGCGCCGGCCGTATGCGAGACGCGTCGTGCAAATGCGAAACGCAGTGAATCGCGCGCGTCGCCTGTGCGGTGAATGAGCAGGGCGAATTATTATGCTCGAGTAATTACGCCGGAGGGAGGGAGAGAGAGAGGCGATTTAATGCCAGACAGAGCCTTAGTTATATAAATAGAGAAGCGCAACGGAGATAGTTTTGATTGACTGTTTGAATTACATGTCCTGCCCGCCATTTTCTCGGTCCGCCACACCGCACGACTAAGAACACATGACGTACGTCGGTGGACGGAAAGTTTGTCGCACTTTGTTTTTTTGTGAGTTTCGCAACGCGTCTGGTGTCCGATGGGAGAGCGTGTCTCCTGAGAATATCTAGGAAACAAATTCTCCTATTGGACACGGGATGCGTTCCGAAAGTTATTATTAAAAAAGAAAAGCGTCACAACTTTTCTATCCATCACTGTACGGCAAACTTCATTCAAATACCGTTGCATTTCCTGCACGGTGAAGAAACATTTTGCACCTGTTGAAATGTTCGTGTCACGTTTTTAACACACCCGTGTGCTAATCTAACACATTTATCTCAACATTATCGTCTCAACATTTTGTAACGCGTCGATATTCAACGTGTGTAAGCGTTAAGATAACACATTATATTTCAGCGTCAATTAACGTATTAATTTTGCATTAATTTTTGACGTAATATTCGCGTTAACATCAACTATATTCACCATGTATTGAATTAATACGAAAATTTGGACTGGCGGACCGTTTGGGACATGTGAAATGTATTAAATTTCACGCAAAACGTTTCGCCGTGTAGGAGTAGCAACATTGGAAATTTTCGAACATTCGTACGTGCACATCACGATTACTGCTACGGAGCAGAATCGCTGCCTATTCACCGAGTAATCAACAGTTATGACGCACGAATATTCCAAAATAATAATACGCTTGTATGGAAATTGTCGATGTTACTGTGCCTGGAAATGGGACCGCATTAATGGAGTCTTCCGTACCGGTAAGTTATAATATTTTTGTTATATACTTTTAGAGTACATCACGACTCAGCTAAATCTCTTTCTGCCGGGTTATAACGAGCAGCTACAAATTATTCTTACTTAGACTAATTATCAAGGTTAATCTTTCGCAACGCAATCCTTTTATCCTTTCCACCCTCATCTTCTTGCACCGAGCATCACCGTGCAAGGAAAATGGCGGACTCTCGATATATACACATCGAATTCAGTTGCGCTTCTCTATTTATATCTAACGTCGAAACAAGCGCGAGATCCGCCGAACGATCGATCTCGGCGGTTTTAATCTGCTCGCCTTGGCAAGTCTTCCAGTCGTCCTCCAGCATGAAGCCGTCCGGGCACAAGCAAAACACTCGACCCATCGTCGACAGACACGTGTGGGAGCATCCCGCGTTATTGACGCTGCACGGACCGATGTGTTCGCACGTGTGATTGTCGGCGGCCAGCGATGTGTCCTGCAGACCCTCGCAGGAACACTCGTATCCGCCGATGAGATTTCGACAGGTGTCCTGGCAAGGACCGTGACCGTTGTTCAATAAACACTCGTTGATGTCTACACAGCAAACGACGCGCAGGTTTATTCCTCCCCGCTGCTAATGGCGATTTAAACCCCCCCGCAGAAGTGTGATTAACCCCCGCGACTACTGCTCTGATGTTTGGATAAAGTAATTACTGCGGGGCGGGGAATCGATTTAACAACCGAACAAGTGAACGGAAAGGATTAATTGAGAGAGAGAGAGAGAGAGAGAGAGAGAGAGAAAGAGAGAGAGAGAGAGAGAAACATATATACGTGTATAAGTATAGAACCCACAAGGAAATTAAACTAGAATTAATTGTATCTCTAAATAATAATGTAGGGACCAAGTTAAAATTAACAAGGTAAAAGGCAGCAACCGCTCGTTTCATTGCACATGTAACAAATGAAAATTCATTATTCCGTTTATTTCCGCAGGCAAATGAAAGAAACGGTTTCTCTCGCGCGCGAAATCGTGGAAATGTCGTGGGAAGAAAAAAATGAAATTCATTGTATTCGGAGCCAACTCTATCACCCACCCGTGCACGTGTATCTGTCCTTTCCTTGTTTCATGCCATTCGGACACTCGCATCGAAAGGATCCGGGTGTGTTCACGCATTTGTATTCGCATCCAGCATTCCCCGTGTCGCACTCATTCACATCTGCGCGTACGGACAAAATGATAAAAAGTAAACAATCAAAATAATAGCGGGCGTGTGTCACGAGCGCGCGCGCGCGCGCGTCGTGTCCAATCAAATTCAAATAAACTTTACCCTGTCGGAATCGCAATCGTGAAAGTATCTGACGTGGAACAATTGAAAAATCCAAACGTACGTACGTATGTAAATTTAACAGAGTATCTCCCTTAAAATTTCGTCTGTGAAGGAAATAAACGCGCGAGCGCGCTCAGTTTTTCTCGCCCTAACTAAATTAATAAATTAAATTAACTGTAAATTATTGCGAGAAAAATCTGCAATAATCAAGCAAACTTAAGCGCGTAAATGAAAGAAAAGTTCGAAATAAATAAATATAAAGCAAAATAAAAATTCGACATTGTCGAGAAAACTCACAACCTGCCAGACCGGAGCCGACGGATATAGAAATACCGGAAAGCTTCGCTTGATATTAATTATTACCAACACGGGAGTAAAATAGGGTGCTCACCGGCGCATTTGTGGCCATCCAATCTGAATCCCTTGTAGCAGGAACAGACGGGACGCCCGTTAATTTCGTTGCAAACATGCTCGCAGGATGCCTCGGCGCATACCCCGTTCGGGTTTTGCTTGATCTCGCACTTTGGCACCTGTCCGACCCACTGACGACTTCTGCAGACTAATCGGCTCGTGGGGGATACCATATGGAAACCTGGCACACACTCGTAATCGGCTTCCAAATACTCGTGGCCCGGGGTCGAGGACCTTCATAATCGTCACATGAACGCGGGAAAGAAATTATTTTTACGATTTAGACATAGGACGAAACGTGTCAATTTTTATAAAACACGGTTCTGTCAATATTCAGTCCAAAGGAAAGATCAGAACGGGCTTATATACAGCTTTATCAGCATGCAATTATTAATAATTATAAATAATAATTGCACAATTGATAATAATTTCTAATAATTATATCGAAAAATATTTACATCGGTAAACAACCAACGTTTCGGTCTTAGATCGGATCCTCTTCAGTGGTGTCGATAACAAAAAATTTTGTATAAGCAAGGTCAACTCTTGTAAATTTGTAAAATCACAGATTGACAAAAAGAACTTGTAAATTACACGGAAGAGAGGTATGCAAGATTATGAAAAGTTAAGAAACTATCTGTCAAATAATAAAAAGTCAAAATAAAAAAAAGAGGAAAGGAAATAGCACATCATAAGGCTATAAAGACTAGTATGAAGAATGGCTGCGAGAGAAGAGAGAATAAACGCGCAGAGTGGGAATATGGCCATCCAAGAGGCAGATAGCAGTGGTAAAAGGCAAACGAAATATCGTACATTGGCATTATATAAGACGTCTGTCTCGCTGAGCGTCTCATCTGTCATATATTTGTAGTTTAAGTTAATGTGCAATGCTGACATCCAGTAATTTAAGTCATTTCTTGTCACGTTTTTTAGTTTCTTCTTTCAAATCACTAAAAAAATTCACTATCGTCCAAAATGAGTCGTTATAAAATGGGTCATTTTTTTCCGAGGTGCCGTTAAATTTGTAAAATATGGACGTTCTATATTTTTGCCGTCTCTCTTAATAAAACTACTCCGAAAACGTATCGAAACGTAAAAAACTAGTATCATTCATATCTTTAGTCTCGGTATGATTTTTCAAAACTATTCCACGAAAAGAACTTGCTATGCGTTAAGTTATCTAAAGATAAATTTTCTGCACCGTTACAGTTACTTTCATTTTACTTTTTCTGTTCCGATGAGACCGGATGGTAGCTCTGTTAACGTGAACAAAATGCCCTCTGCCATTTTTCAAACAACGGCGCGAGATTTCGAGTTACTAATTATTGAAAACAGCCACGTATAGAGACTTCTTTAAACAATAACCCGAAATTTTGCGTGTTGTTTGCAAAACGGTACAGGACTTTTCTGTTCACCTCAATCCGTTCTACACCTTCACAAAGTTTGCCTCTGGTCTGGGCGTCCTGTATATGACGAATGCGACACTTGGCAACAGACACCCTGGTGCTTATTTAATATTTATGTTGTGCGCATGGATTGCCGACTTAAATCCTTGTACATGCAAGCTGTAGTTGACCTTGTTTGTACACAATCTATTGTTTCCGACTGAAGGAAGTCCGACGTAGGACTGAAATGTTTCATTTCCTTTACCGATATGACTATTACCGATGTAAACATATTTTCCGAAATAGTTATTGTTAATTGCACCATTAAAGCCGTGCATAGACTCTCTCATAGACTCATTCTATTCTTTTTTTTTCGTTTTTTTTTTTTAAGAGAGCCACTTCCGCAGATCCAGCATTAGGCGTGAAAGCAAACCGCGCGGAGGGAAAAAAAAACAAAAGCGGGAGAGACACAGTAGCCCGTCCGGCGGGCGCGGAGAGAGCCCCGCGGGAGAGAGAAAATATTTCACCGCCGTTCTCGAACCCCGTCGGCGAATCCACCCTTCGACGCACACGCGCGAGATTTCCTCCTCTATTTTTCCTCCCCAGCTGCCCGTAACAAGCACGGCAGTTATTACATGTATTAAAAGTTCGTTACACTTGGCAACTCGCGTAAATTTCTATCGATCGCCTTTTATTATTATTCGAATTCCGATGAATATCGGGATACGATTGGACGGTAGGGATCTTTCCGATTCGACCGATATATATATATATATATATATATATATNTGAAATTAATGTCAGAGGCGTCACGGGACATCGGCCTGTGCACAGCTAGCTAGCTGGCGCGCGCACCGTGAAAATCGTTGTTTCCCAGAATTATCCTGAGTATTGAATTATGGATGGATGGCGGAGGATAGAAGAGCACTTACTTTACATATTTGATCAGCGCGTGGCGAGATAGAGGCGCCGGCAGGAAAGTCCCGTTTATGCAGGATAAGTCCCCTCTCGTGTTGTCGTCGCTGTCCCGCGTTGCTTTCGTCACGCCCGTGACTTCCGTACCTCCCCCGAGGTCCTCGTCGAGGCTCTCCTCCGAATTAATTATCGGCTTTCTCGGTGGATGCGAGGTGGCGTGACGAATCGACGGTTCGCCATGGCGCGGCAACGAGACCAGCTTCAGGCTCGACGTCATGTAAGCGTTATAATCCTTCAGGGTCCTCGCGAGCACCTCGTTCTCAAGGTCCAGGATCGGCAGGTCCTCCTCGGTCCTCGTGTAGCCCAGCATCCTCTCGGCGTCGTAGCGCGAGCTGCCGAAGCCGAGCTTGCCGTCCGTGCCGCCGGCTACTTGAGCCGCGCTCTTACCAGCAGATTTCTTCGGGGAGCGATCGAAAATGTCGTCCTCCAGGAAGGAGGAGTCCTTCAGGGCGGATCTGGAGATCTCCATCTCGAGGTGCCTCGAGAATTCTCGCTCCACCGTGTCGGCGTAAATTCCACGCCGAGGCGTCGTCCTCGCCGGCTTCCCCTCCAACGTCGACTGATGCTGGAGACTCGACAACTTCGTCGTGCCGACGACGACGCCCGTCGTCGTAGTCGTCGCAGTCGTCGGGGGACCGCCGCTATCGACGGTGACATACGACGATTTCTCGATCGACGAGTAATCGGACGCGTTGGTCCTGGCGGAGCCGAGTTTCCCGATCGGAAACCTGCCGTCGTGCGTCTTCCTCTTGTACTTGGACGCGCGACGCGCGACGTCCCGCCGCCTGTCCTCGTCCCTGCTCGTCCCGCCGCTCCTCTGCCGCTCCTTCCTGCCCTTCTTCCTCCGCCTGCGCCGTTCCGCGCGGGATTTCCGCGCCTCCCGATTCCTCGGCCGCGACTTCGACAGCGGATTGTTGTTCCTCCTCGCCGACGATTGACGCGCGCCTCTTATCTCGTTCTCGCGACTGTCCTCGGCGATCTCGCGCGTCACGTGGCCGGCCGGACTCTTGGCCTCCGCACCCCTGCGACGCTTCTTGCGCGTTCTACTTCCGAAGTTGCCCTCTTGCTGCCTGCCCGACGTCGTTGCCGCTGGGAAGATGGCGAAGAAGAAGACGGATCGCCGGTGAAAAGATCGGCCGGAACGACGAGATCGAGCGATGCGAGAGCTCGCGTGCCGTTGAAGTAATCGGCAAAATTCCCAACGCGGGAGGAATTATTAGAACGCCTGCGAAGGCTCGCGAAAGCGCGCGAATACCCGAGTAGAGAAATTTTAGGGAAAAAACTGGCCACTAGACTGGAAACTGGACAGTAATTAAGTCTTAATTTCTACTCGGGTAGATGGCTGTTGCAGCGACTTATCAATTGTTTTCCTGCGAGTTGCGACCAGATTGCTTTGATTAAATTATTACATGTCACCTGTCGTTGTCGTTATTAATAAATGAAAACGGCTTTAATGCCGCGCAAACTTTTGCAGGCGCCTAATATTAAATTCGAAGGGTCACGTTTGTTTAAAGTAGGATACAGGATCTGCCGAAATAACACGACCGGCAAAGTCGACGTGAGAGATTTTCCAGCTAACGTAATTCGCTCGGAGAAAGAGAGGGAGTGAGCGGAAGGGGGGGGGGGAAACGGACGTGTCGTAATGTCATTCGCAACAGTGGAGGTGTTTTCGTTTCCGCCCGCGATTTAACCGGCCGGAGTGTGTTTCCTATATTAGGAGGGAAGCGCCGTTTCTACTCACTGACATTTACGTTTCGCCGTGGCGGAGCTCCCGCGCCGTTCTTCGGCAAAAAGAGATGTTTGTCCGCGTTGTGGCGTTCGCCGCGGGCCTCCTCCGCCTTCGCTTCCGCTTCCTCCGCACCCTCCTTGACGGCGCCTCGCGACGGGAGTGTCCTTCTGTTTTTCTCGAGCACCCCCTTACTCTCGGAAGATGTATCTCGGCTGATAGATAACAATAGCTTTAACCATCTTCGCTTTCTCTCTCTCTCTCTCTCTCTCTCTCTTCCTCTTTTTCGTGAAAAACAAGCGTTCGAGCGGGGAGACTTCACCGCTCGTGTTCCGCTAAATAAATCATCAAAGAGCCGGAAAGAGAGAGAGAGAGAAAGAGAGAGAGAGAGAGAGAGAGAGAGAGAAGGGGAGAGCACATGGTGAAATTTTAATATCCTGAAAAGCTAAAAGACCGTTTCGACATTGTTAAAGATTCATTCGGAGAGAGCCGGGGAGTGAGCGCTTTGGAAAAAAAAAAGAAATACACATGTGCTGCACTTTGTGAGTTTATTTGTAAACGCGAGCCACGGCCTTTGAGATGTGGAGCGACGCGCGTTGCAACGACAGCTTGCTTGAGGAAAAAAATGATAAAATATCAGATTTCAAAAACGTTGGACGCTGCTGCAGTTAGCAGTGTGAGGTGCGCGGCATTAGAGCGAGCACGGTGTTTGGTGCAAAGTGCAACGTAAAACGTAATCTCATCAACAATGCAGAGGAAGTTTCTTTTTCCGCGAATGGCCGCGTAATTAACGAACGAGTCGATGTTATTTTGAAACGCGCTCGCGCGCGCGCGCCTTTGACGTTACGATTTAACGCTTACCATTAGGACGGACCTTTGATCCTAAGCTCGTCGCATAATTATAATGCAATTATCCATCAGAGACCGCCCAACTGACCGACCGACCGACCGGATTGCGATACATCGTCGAGCCGAATCGCCGACACCGACGGACGTTCGTTCCGTGGAAAGGAATGGCGAACGTCCTCGTCATCGAGTTCCCTCCTCCCCGCACGCGGAGAAAAAGAATTAACCGGGAACTAAAATCAAGCCCTGGCAGCTAAAACGTGCCTCTCACACGGCGACAGCTGACGACGTTGCTGCCAAATTTATTAGCCGTTTGAATTTAGCCTCTGCAGCGAAAAATATTCGTCAGGCCGCACAATAGTACTAAAATATCACATTTACATTCCCGGCTGGAAATTTATTGCATTTCTTCTTCTAACAGAAGCTGTCCTTAAGGTAGTTGTAGCGTAAAATGGGTTCTTTAAGAATTCGTTTGGAACTTGCTCTACATACAAATTTAAATATGATCGAATTATTGGGGCGCAATTAGAAAACGATTGATCAAAGCTGAGACATTTGCGAGGTAAAACAAAGGATCCTATAAGAATCAATATGACATTAAAATTATATTATTTTGACACTATTTCAGCGTCGTCTTGACTTTTAAATGACTCTTTGCTCTACTTGGAGAGACTGAAAATGATACTTTTATACGCGTAACTTGAGGTTAATGTCCTCTTTTCAACTTCTATTTCCAATTACATCTACATTTCATCTTCTACGATTCAACGAAACGTTAATGGTGCCGTTTCCTTTTTCGTTATATCGAGATATCATTTATTCGCGAAGAAAGTCCCAATTATGATACTAACACACACACACACACACACACAAAGCATTGAAGATAACACAAGCACCTGCTGAATGCAGGAAATAATTGTGACGAACAAGACACTCGTAATTCCTCACGAATTCTCAGAATGATCAATTCGTCATAATGAATTTCTTCAATACGAATCGATTGTGGTTAATTCCTCAAGAATTCTCCGGATATTCATTTTTACACAATTCTATACGTATTCTTTTAAATGAATACTCTGCGAATTTCCATTCACCCCTGTGTTATCTGAAGATACGCATGGAATTACAGTTCCGATCATAAGTTCTTGCGAGAGTCTGGCGAGAATAAATTACGAATCTCGCGATTCAGTCTAGAATTGCGGCTATTACTGGAATTAGCCGCTATTACCGCGTCATTTCTCCGAGTGCGTGTGAAAGGAGCGGAAGGAGGGGCGACGAGCCCGCCGCTATTTCGATCGAATAACGATACTTTACCCCTGTTGCTCGTGAACCCCCGGTGTATACGACTCGTCGTCGCCGGCGAGACCCGACTTCTCGGCCAAGTTCCCGTCTTCGCGCGCTCCTCGTCGCGGCTCGGCATTCTGACAGAGTCCTGCAAACGAGTGGATCCGATCTTTAAGTCGACGCCACACACACCTATGGAGAATAAGGGCGGTGCGCACAAAAAGGGAAGGCGAAGGGCGGCCGCGACTGCATCTCCGCGGGCGATGCAGCGAGGCGAAAACGCGGAAGTTCGTCGGTCTATTCCGTGAGTTTGCCGGGGAGTCGCACTCGAGAGCCGCCGTCGAGTGGGGACGAAACTTTGCCGGTGTTACTACAATGAAGGGAGCTCCGCTCCGGAAGTCATCGGTCGATCGGCGCAGCCGTCATCTCGTCCGGAGAGATGCTCGCGTCACGCAATCGTCGATATGGAAATTCTTTAAGATGCGCGCGGCTGGCGATAAAATTGAACTGGTTAGAGAAATAGAGAGAGAGAGAGGGGGAGGCAGACAGAGGGAAGGAAAAAGGAGAAAATGCGACGGTGATGCGCGGCGGAAAGGATTTTTACAGGACGGCCCAAGGATATCTTAATCTCCCGGATGTTCCTTTAGACGCCCTTTAAGGCGTCCTTTAAACTTTTATGACGTTTGAGAACGCAACGGGGGAGAGAGAAAGAAAGAGAGAGAGCGCACCGTTCGCGTGAATGGCAGACGACCTCTCGCAAACGGTGGTGCAAGCTATGTCGGGGAAATAATCTCAATAGTAAATACATTCTGCTTCTCTCTTCCGTTCTAGAATATGAATCTCTCTTATCCTGTCCGTCTCTCTCTCTTTCTCTCTCTCTCCCTTGACAAACTTGTGATTTTTTCCTACTCTCTCGCAGACAGTAATATGAATTCGCGCGCTCTAACGAAAGGATGTCTGTCTCCCCGGAAAAGTTTCACGGCGGATTATACTCGAAACTTTCGCGAAACTTCCGCGGCACGGAAAGGAGCGAGACTCTGCGAGCATTTTCCTCCCGTCGAAGAAAGCCCATCCGAGGGAAGCATTTTCGGCTAATCTAGGCGATATCAGTGGCAGTTGGTATAATCCGGCGATAATCGACTCCCGCCGTTGTTACCGCTGCATCCGAAACCGTTAACGAACACCGGAGTACAGCTAAGTGCTCGTATAAGAACCGGAGAGGTGCCTTAAGAAAGGAAGGATTATACCGCAGAACCCGGTACAGCCAAGTTTATATTCGGCATAACAATTTATATTTAAATGGACGACGTAATCTCCTCTCTCAAAGATCAGTGGATCTTCGAGTTTCCGTGTACGTGTGTGAACCGCGCGTCATCAATTAATTAAATCGAGTAATTAGTTCAACAGATATAAATGGCTGCCATTGTTGTGCAAGAAAGATCCGATTCACGTGGAGCACGTTTCGACTATTTTCGTCTTTTCGTATTTTTCTCTTTAAAGATACTCGTCAAGGATTGAAATCGGTGTTAAAAATATCGTTTTCATAACAATAGATTATCCATGGGCAACGAAATCTAAAAAAAAATCATAATTTCGTGGATCGGATCTTTCTTATACAAGTAGTGTAGACTGAGGGACCCATTTAGTTGACTCGAACAAAATGCTCGTTTGCATATAAACGAATATTTCGGTCGTGAGGACCAAAGTTTGGTTCTCTGAAACAAAAATGAAGAAGGTCTCGTTCGGTGAACCTAACCTTTGATTCAGAGAACCAAATTCTAGTTTTCACAACTGAAACGTTTATTCGCCCATACCCAAACAAGCATTTTGTTAATTTACTTCTCTAACTAAATGAGTTTCTCAGTCACGGCCAAATATATTTACTCAATTACCTGCACGGCAATTACCTATACTCCGACAATTGCAACGTTAATATAATAATAAACAATAACGGTTATAATGGTTATAATAAAACTGAGGCGATTTCGAGAATCGGGGAGAGAAAGAGAGAGACAGAGGGTGAGAAAGTGGGGGCTCATATTTCCTCGGGAGAAAATAGCCGAGTGACACGAATGTATTTTCCTCTCTTTCTTATGAGGGGACGCGCGCGCGTTCGCATCTCGCCGTAATTGCGGCGTATTTTAATGCACCGCCCAGGGAGAAGTGTCCGTTATATCGTGCCGGTAGAGTATTACTTTCACAGGCGCCATTCATAAATCGGTTGTTTCTCCGTGTGCCAGTTTAGTAGTGGAAAATATAAAGAAACGGAAGCCGTCAGCGGGCGGGCGGCTCGGGAGAAAAGAAGACTGTTCCCGGAAGCAATTAAAGCGAACGACTAAGCCCCGCCGTAGGCAATAGGGAGTAATTCGTTCGTTTCTCCATCGCGATGTAGCGGTCGAACCGGCGGGAGGGGAAAGGGAGGGAAGGGGGGAGAGGACGGGGGAGGGGGAGTGGCGATTTTGTCGGGAAAGTTTAATTAAATTCAACCGCTGGTAAACGGCGTGTAATATTCCATTCAAGGTAAACCGCCAAAGTAAACCAGTTTTTGATTCACACGACACTCTCTCCTTACCTCCATCTTTCCCTCTCTCTCTCTCTCTTATTTTTACCCGCCGCCGATTAATGCGAATGCGCGGAGAGAATCGCCGGGTTAATCCGTTCCCGTCAAATTTACGCGCATTTGCATATTCATGCTGTCGACAAAGCAAAGTAGTCCCGGGCGTGTTGTCGTTTCTAAAAGCGACCGTCGTTTAAATCGCCGATCAGGACGCCTCAATATTTCACGCTCATTTCCGCGCGCGCGCGCGCGTTGCCGTCGATGAAAAAAAAAACGCGCTGCGTGACACACTATACCGGCGTGAATAAATGGGGGAATTTCGGAGGGGGCGTCTCGTCGTCGCTCACGTTTTGCTTGCGTGCGTGCGTCGCGTGCATGCGTGTATACACGCGCGCGCGCTCCGCGCGGTAATTTTTCATCCGGCGTGTAACGGGTTTTCCCCGGCGGCGCGCGACGCACCGCGTTTGTAATATTTACGGGTCATCACCTTGAAATTTGCATTCGAATTTTCGCCGAAGCGTCAACGTACGCGAGGCAAACTCGACGGCGCGCAGCGCGACCGCGCGTAGAATCTCTCTCGGATCCGCGCGCGCCCCGACGCTCGCTGGAGTCGCGAATTATGTTTCATTAGAATTCACTCGCAGGAAAAAGGGCAATTCCGCGAGAGAAACTAACCCCCGCCGATCAGAAGAGGTGCGGGGGCAACGCTTTGAATAATTCGGATCGACCGTGTATAAGCGCGCACGCGCCTCTGTGTGTGTATGTGATGGGCACTTTAGGAGCGCTGTTAGGAATTTCCCGCGACACCTGGCGAGTACCTCTTATCCTTCAGCTGCGAGTGCGATAAGCCCGACAACACGGGGGAATTTCTCCATCAACTTGTATCGTACCGATGCGCGGGGCGAAACTCCGAACAGCCTCTCGTTGATCCCTTGTCAATTTTCGCTGCGACACACGGCGCCGGGGAGGATGCGAGATTACCTCCGGTAATGTTGCATCGTCAATCGAACGAAATGAATTTCCGGACCGACCGAAGCCCTCGTCCTCCGGGCGAAGAAGGACCCGCTTTGTCATCATCCGGCTTCCGCGTGGGACAGACGTGGGATAAAATGTCCCTGCCCGAGGAATATCCGCGATCGATGAAAAACCGCGACGCGTATTTTGCTGTCCCCGTAATTACGCACTGCGCAAATCTCGCCCTTTTCTCGACGCAATAATTTATCGAGCTCGCCGGCCGCAGAAATCCATGAGAAATCGATTTTCGTCGCGCGCATAACAGAGAGAGATTGTAAGTCGCGGCACTTAGACGATCGTGAATTATGCATTTGGCTATTATGATTTCGCGCTAAGCACTGTTGCTAAGCGCTCTAATTAATGAGGATGATTGTAAATTAAACGGCCGATTATAAATTAAAGCTACTTCTGCCTGAAATACATAGCGCGCGATATTGAATACAAGCTACGTGCGGAATCGGACTTAATTAGCTGGGCGAATTCGCGCATTATCGCGATCACTTTCAAACGAGATACACCTTCAAAGCCTCTCCGAAGAGGCTGCGGGTTTCGCAATCTTCCGTCCGATGAGTGCACGCTCTCTCATCGCGAACGTCGTGTTTTGAAGCGGCGCCCGCAATTAGAATTTAAGTAAGACTTAAGGCTTTAAATCTTAACTCGGAAGTAGTCACCTCATTTTCTTTTTTTTTTCATGTAAATAAATAATCACCTGCAGTCATTTTAGACCTGAAAAGTAGCTGTTAACAAAATGTAGTATATTATCGATTGCTCTGTGATTTATTATTATTTCGGGTCATTGCGGGTTTAGATTCATTCGCTACTTTTTGAAAAAAATATGAGAGGAAAATATTTAAAAGACGGAATAAACACATCGAGTGTCTTATTATGACAGTATTTTAATAAATGAAGATATCAATCAAATGAACATCGTTTTATCGCTTATTTTCGGAGATATATTTAAAGGTTCGTAAAGTAAATAATTATTAAGAAAGATTGAAAATATATTAATATATACCTATTTTTCTGGACATTACTATCAGTCAGTATCATATATAACGTAATTATTATCTCATATTCATATTCTCTCATTACAAATTCTCACCATGCTCGACCAATTGTGCAACGTGAACGATCACTTTCGGGCTCGTTTCTTTCGCCCCGGCGAATTTTTACAAGCTTTTTACTATGAATAAGACGAGCCACGGACAGCTCTTATTGCACAGGTTGGATCTCTAAACGTCCGAATGAAAGGCAGGTATCCCGACCAGTAAAACGGACCCACGTGCGACATGAGTTTCATTTTCTGACCGCCGGAGTCTGAAATGAGTCCGGCTGGCTATTCCTTGGGTCAAGCCGTGAGAAACCGAGCGATCACAGACGAGCGTAAAGACGAATAATCGATCGTGATCGGTCAACTTCTCAAAGCTCAAAGCTCGAGTCTTACACTTTAAACTCTCATTGTAGCCGCCGCTCGCACTACTCGCGTCTCTCGTCTGTGCGTGCGCTGTGTCGGCCCCCGTTTAAGCCGAACAAGACGCGCCGGACGGCGTTAAAAGTGCATTAGAAACGGGATACACGCGCGCGCTGAATCCCGTCATTTTATTAATCCTGTTCCCGCTGCGCCGAGGAATATACGCAGCGACGTAATTACGCGCGAATGCGCCGACGGAGCGCGAACAACCGCATAAATCGTAAACGAGTTAAGTGGCGAAGTTAGATTGCCTCGCGCGCGCGCGCTCATTGTTTTTTCGCCGTTGAGCCCAGCAGGGCTGGCGGAGTCCGGCGCGTTCCGCTTAATGTTAATTCGTAAATCTGCTAATACGCCCGGCGACAAAACTAATTACATCCGCCATAGAAAGACGTCGTCGACGCGGACAAGAGAGTGAGGTACAGCAAGAGAGAGAGAGAGAGGGAGAGGGAGTGGAAATGAGCGAGCGTTATTTCATTGTGATTGCACGGTCCACAATACGCCGTGAAAATTAACAGACCGCGCGCGCTTCAAGTCGCCTCGCACGGTGCGAAGCGGAAAAGCTGCGGTCGGAACGAAGTTTCTCGCGCTCGGGCGACGACGAGAAGAGAATTTTCCCTCTCTCGCCCGTTGCCTCCCCACTGCCTCTCCACCCCCCGAAGGGCTGAAGAAATGTAATGGACGCTTTTTTTCTATCTTTTGCTTGGTATGAGCTATCGGGGCGACGGAACGGCGAGACGCAAGACGTATTTTCTCGCGTCTCGCGTAATACAAATGGAAAGGAATGTAATGTAAAGCAGCTGCTTTATTATGCTACCCGCTTTTCTATTATTCCGAAGGAGGGAAGGGGAATCGGGCGAACAAAACGGAGGGGACGGACGGAGAGAAGAACCGGTGGGGCTTCGCGTTCACCACCGCGGAGTGGTTAGCCGTTACAAGCGCGGAATGTACGATTTATCATTGACTCATACCACGCACCGACCGCCTCGCTCAATGGCGATCGGAGTGTGACGGAGTGAAGCGGAGATAGAGAGAGAGGAGGAAGGAAGGAGGGAGGGAGGGGGAGGGGAGAGAGAGAGAGACTTTAATTGGATAATAATTCTCGCGTGCATATTTTCTTTACGGCGATAATAATAGCGCGCGACAAAACAATCGGAGAGAGAGAGAGAGAGCCGTCGTTGGGTTCTCGACCGGCCAATTTCCGGCAAGATTCTGCAAGCTTGCTTAAAAACCATGAGAATGAAATGAATTTGCATGTTATTACGGTTTTCCACGTTCTTTATTCATAAGCCCGTTCTTTTCGTTAAACGTAAACAAACATGTCGTTTCGGCCCTTTTGGTCTCTGCTCACCGCCTACCCCGCAGGGAGTCCTTTTGTGTGTTCTCTATTTTTGTTCCCTTTCTTTCTTTCAGACGTGTCGTGTAAATTAAAATGCGAATACACGTAGAAACGTTCGCAATTAAATCAACAATCGTGTATCAACGATCGTCCCTAAAGATAAATAAAAAAGGAAAAGAATCACGCAGGATCGGAGTTATCGTTTCGCGAATAATCATAGTTTTGCGAGTCGCGGTTATTACTTCTTCTCCTCCCTCCCTCCCCTCCTAGTATATGTGAACTTCTCTCTCTCCGAAATTCATCACTGTTTAATTAACGCATAATTTGTAATAATGGATTGCCATTTAATTAATTTTATTCATCGCCGCAAATTTGTTTTCTAACGAGTCACAACGGCAGTACAAAGCGGCGGGCCGAACTTGCGCGACGAATATTAAAATAATGACGGAACGTCCTTCGGGCGATGTTTCACCGGTTGTATCTCAAAAATGCGTCACAGATATCACAAAGATTTAGAAGCAAAGTGCCGATGCCCGGGCATTCTCATTGTTTCGGTCTTTAAATAACATTTAAACTTTCAGCCTAAAAAATATCATACATATACACGGTCGAAAGTTTAGATATTCGTAGTTAAAATCCAAAACGAGGGGAATGCGTGTAGGTTGAAGGCGCGCGCCCAGGTGTATCGGTACTCGTTCATCTTATAATTCCTAAATTAAGAATACCGCTTCACGGTGAATGACACTTCCGGGCTGACGAACGAGACCCCGAGGCACGCGAGTGATCGTTCCCTAACCGACGACGACGGATCGTCTCCCGGCTGGCCGTCGACCGGCGGAAGGAACTCGATCGAGTCGCGCTCGATGCGATATCTTTCCTTCGCCTTTTCCTTCCTCATCGTTCTCCACCGTCCTCTCCGCGACTGAAGAGATCGCACTCACCGGTCGGCAGGGCGATTCCCACGAGAAGGAACAGGACGGCACAAGCGAGCCCCGCGTGGCCCGACGCACGTTTCCCGACGATAACGCACATAACGCGCCGCGTCCGCATTCAAACGCTCGTACCGCGTCGCGCGGCCGCTCGCGTGCCTCTGAGAGAGCGCGCTCCCTCTCGTCGGATCTCGAGTTTGAAACGCTTTCCTTCCCTCCTCTTCTCGCCTCCTCCGCTCCTCGTCGCTCCGATTTCATCCCGACGCGGCCGGCGCAGCTCCCGCGGTCCAGCGGGGCGCCTGCTCGGTGGCAACCCGTTCTCGCCGGCCGTCCACAGTGGGCGCCACGCGCCAGGCGCGCCGCACAGACGAAGGACGAGCGCTTTTCGTTTACCATGGGAACGCGCTGTTTTGCAGATCCCTGCCTCTCCGCCGTGGGATCGGATCAACTGATTATTAAAGCGCTCGGAGAAATTCGCTCGGCGGAATCGCCGGGAAATTCCGGATAATTATCAGGCGAGGAGTAATCCCCCAGAGGAGGGGAGTGATTCGATTTCAATCTACGAATGCGCGCGAAATTACCCTCCGAATCCCCCTTATTGTCATCTCCGTTCCCGCTGCTCGGAGGTCACGTGTGATTTCTGAGGTTACCTGAAAATCGCGTGTTTGCATCTTCTTCGTTTCGACAGGAGTTATCGGGAGTTCATCGGGACGAAATCTTCCCTGTCGTTCCTCGGAACGTCGATCTCGAAGATGGCCGCTCGCGATCTCCGCTCACTGCCGGTATCCGCGATGAACGAATAAACGCGAAGTTCAGAACGGTCTCGTCTTATCGGCGCGATTCAAACGTGACTTAACGGTAATCGGGACGAATCGCCATCTGGTCGTTCCGGACGTCCCGTAACCCGCGCGACATCGAGCGGATCGAGAGTTCCGGGTGGCGTTTTCGTGAGAGAAAGAGAGACGCGAGGAAAACGAACGAAATCATGTTCGGGTGTTCGTGAAGGGAGGAAGTGAGCAACGCGGAGAGGCGCGTTTTCCCCCCTTCCGTAGCATCGAAAACCGTTACCCGGCGGTTATTCCGGTCGGGCGGGAGAAAGTGCGCGCTCCCGTGCACACGATCGCAGGCGCGCCATTGTCCCCGTCGCAGTTCCTGTAACTCCCACGGATATCGATCCGTACGTTCGCGCGTTCCGAGTGGCGCGTACGCAAGCCCAACGGGCGACAAAGAGGGCCACACCGGTGTAGCTAGTTTGTGCCCGCGCCTCCCCTCGCACTCCGCTCGTCCTCTCCCTTTCTCTTTCTCTCGCATTCTCTCCCTTCTCTTCCTCCTCCTCTTTCGTCCTCCTCCTCGCGAGCAGGAGCACGGCAATCGGGCGAGATGAGCGACCAGGAGGACCTGGATTATTACATCATGTACCCGCCGTTTCCGCCATCCCCGAAGGACCCGACGCTCGCGACGACGACGGGCGGACAGGATCAACGGGAGGAGTTCGTGTTCGTGTACGAGGAGGACAAGCGGCCGGTCGTAGTCCTGCTAGGATGGGCCGGCTGCCAGGACCGATACCTGGCCAAGTACAGCGCGATCTACGAGGAGAAAAGGTATTTCTTACGGCATTCGCTGCTTCGGAGCCGTCTCGAGCTGTCGCGGTGAAGCTCGGTGAAAGGTGGATACGTCATCGACGGACCGCCGACTCGGAGCGACTCGTGCCACGGGGAAAGCCGTGCTCGGAAAGTACGTTGCGGGCGGAGTAACTTCCGGGTCTCGTTGCGAGTTCATCGATTCGAGTCGAAAATAGGACGGGAACCGAGCCGCGAAGTCGCCCGGCGAGATCGCTCGAGTCAGGCGGCCGAGTTCGGCGCGCGTCCGCTTCATTAGGGACAAACCGGTCGGATAAACAATCGTGATCGATGCTCGCGACGGTCGGTCGTATAATGCAGACTTAATCGCCCGTTAATTCCCACCACTCATCTCTCTCTCTCTCTCTGTGCTCGTCACCTTCGCAGTTGCATCACGCTGCGTTATACCGCGCCGGTGGAGTGTCTGTTCTGGCGCCGGGACAAGATGCCTTACATCGGCAAGCGGCTGCTGCAGGTCATAACCGACAAGAGGCTGCACGAGCACCCGATATTCTTCCACGTCTTCAGCAACGGCGGCGCGATCCTCTATCAGCACGTCAGCCTCGCCATGCAGAAGGCTAACACGCCGTTCAAGGTAGAGCCAGCGAGGCAAACTTTACCAGCTCTCGTGGTTCGATTTCTACCGGAATACGTGAGCGGACATCCTTCCGCGAGCAGATATCCCGTCTTGTAGAGAAATACTTCTCGATCGCGACAGTTGACGATTGTACTTTTTCGCAGTAGCCGCGTGCATGAAATTTCAGACCCAAGGGATTTCCGCGCGACGTGAACGTCCGACTCTTTCGATATCGTTCGAGCGAGCATCGTCGAGTTCCGCCGATAGCAGTCGACATTCGTCTCGAAATAATCGCGACCGTCGAAGTGGAGATCTCACGGAGATTTCCGTGGGAAATTGCGCGGCGGGACCCGTCAATTTCCAACGTCAGATAAATCCGGATTGGAAATCGGTGCAAAATTAAACGCACGGCGAGAGAGAAGCGGATGTTGCGAGCCGCTTGTTATCGGCGACGCTCAACGGTGCCGTTAATATTTGATGCGCGATGATGGCCCACTTTGTGGGCGAGAATAGCAGCAACATCGAGCGCGGGGTTGAATAATCCGTGATTACGGAAATTGCAGGTCAGAGGTGTGATATTCGACAGCGCGCCCGGCGAGAGAAGATTGACGGCGCTCTTCAAGGCGATCAGCGCGATCATCGGCGGCCACCCGCTCACGAATCTGCCGATGTCCTTCGTCATCACGTTCTTCATCTCCGTACTGTGGTTCTTCGAGGTAAACAATAAGCATCAAGGCATCAATGATGACCGGGAAATTCATGATTGTCGTTGTTTCCAACATTATCCATTCATTTTAGCGACGTTCGTTCTATTCTTGTCGTACTATTCACCGTTCTTATTCTGTGACAGCAAAATTCTTAGCATCATTAATTATATTAGTATATTAATTCCCTGTTAATTGCCGAGCACGTTGGACGTTTCCATCGTAACGCGGGGTAGTTGAAATTACGAGCCGCAACTCGGGCGCATAAATCAGAACATTTCGGAACTGCGACCGAGGACGTTGCAACGTCATCAGCTCATAGTGTCGATTCACGTTCGCCAGGTGATCGCGCAGGCATTCAGCAGAACTCCCATCCAGACGAATCCGATCGCCCTCGCCGAGGAAGCCTACTCTTGGCCTCAGCTGTTCTTGTACTCCAACAGCGACACTCTGATCCCGGCATCCGTGAGTCTCTTCCGAGTTCTAAATCCCAGCCCGCGGCCGATGACGCTCCTTTTCAGATTTACGTCGTATTTTCCCAATTACCATCGCCGAGATCGCATCGATGCGATATGCGAGCGAGTTGTTGAGAGAAAACGCTAAAATTAGCTCTTTTCTTCTTTTTTGCTCAATTAGATTGCACTTTTTTACCGTTGGGGTGAAACAAGGACAGACCTTATTGTCGCACATATTGATTAAAAAAAGAAAGATGCGCGCGATATTTGATAATATTACGTACATTTTAGCAGGAACGATACTTTGAACGGTAATTCACGGTAATTCAGATAAAAGGGAATCAAACGTGCCGGTTAATCTGTTTACCTGGAATCTGTCCAGGACGTCGAGAAGTTCGCCAGCCGGCGGGCCGAGCGTGGCGTGCAAGTGCAGCTGGTGCTGTTCACTAACTCGCCGCACGTCAAGCATTACGCGACCTACCGCGACGTCTACGTCAACACGGTGTGCAGCTTCGTCCACGAATGCCTGACCTCGCCGAGCGCGTCCAGAAGCCTCCTCTCGTCTCTGGACCGCGGCGACGATCGCGGCTCCCAGAGCTACGACGCGCCACCGGGGCTCATCAAGCGCGTCGTGTTGCCGCACGAGGCCACCAAGCAGCAGAATTAGAGCGGTGCGAAACGTTAATAGATAGAATAGAGTACCCGCGTGGAGGATCCGCGCCGGAGGTCCCGCGGGTGTGAAGGGAGAGAGGATAGTTCATTTCCGTATACGCGAAAAAAGAAAGGAAGAAAGAAAACGCGGAGAAACGGACAAGTTGCAAAGTGAAGCGGGCAGAATTCGCTCGGAGAAGTTGAATCGGCTTCCTGATCGTCGCGCGATTGAGGATTGGTTTCATTTTATTTATTTATTGATTGATTGATTTATTTATTTATTTATTCTTGTTGTGATATTCCCTTCTGTTCGTTGTGTTCTTGTCGCTACGACCGCCGTTCTTGATATTCTGTGATAGAATAATAAAATAGAATGTTAGAAAAGTCAGTTCCTTGACTGTAGAATTAAGCTACATTAAAGCTACGTTAAAGCGAACGGTCGGCGAGCCAGCGGAAGCTCGGAGGAAGGGAGAGCCCACAGGCCTCGGGATCAGTTCGCGATCGTGCGGGTCAGGAATGTCGATGTCTCGCCGAGCGAATTCTCCAAGATCCGCTTTCGATTTGCTCGTTTCGTACAGGGTAAAGAGATGACGTCCGAGATGCTGGAAACGGTGCTACGTTCGTTGACATTGCCGTAAAGCTATTTTATACGACGGTGCTCGTTCATTTTCGCACGAAGGTCATTACAAACCGAAAAGGTCAGGCTCGAACGAGCGAGACTGCACACACACACATACACACACACACACACATATACACACACGGTGGCGTAGAGTCTCTCTAGAAAGAAATGTTTCCTTTGCGCGCGTTTCAACGCATTTCCTAGACGTGTCTTGACATAAGGCTTCATTCTCATGTATAAGTACAAATACATAATCTTTGTATGAAGATAAAACTTGCTCGCATGAAGATATTCTATGTGGTTCCACTAAAAATATCGTATTCTTGTTATTCAAGAATAATTTTCATGAATTGGTAGGGAAATATATTGAATAGAAGGAACGATATCATCAAACTAAGAATTGTATCGGTTTGAAGACATCGTTGTTTTTAACTAAAATTTCCCCTCAAAATTCATAAAAATTATTTTTGAGTAACGAGAATACAGCCGGTATTTATAATCTGATCTTTCTGATGAATACCGGCCTAGGATATTTTTAATGGAATTATATAAAATTTCTTCATGCGAGCAGGTTTTAATTTTAAATAAGATTATATATTTTCGTTTATATATGAAAATATCGATTCTTGATTTAAGACCAATATTTCTCTGTGTTGTGTAGAGTCTCGAATTGATAGTAATTTTTTTATCTGTGTACGTTTGCTCGAGCGTTATCCGATTCCTACGAGCGTACGGCTCATGGAACGGCGCGCAATTTGTGCGATTTCCGAAGCTTTATTTCGCTAACGAAGCTCAAATAATAATAATAACAGCAATCCCATGTCTTCAGAGAATCGAGCCGAGCTCACCCCGGACGTGTTTGCACTGTTTGCGGCATCGTGAGCCTTGAGTCCGAGTTTTCCCCGATATTCGCGAAGACAACAACGGAACGACAACCGGTTTCCGCACGTCCTCTCTCCTTCACCTTGATTCCCCCCTTGCGTTGTCCCCGTTGTCTCAGCTTGATTCTTCGTTCGTATCTTCTTCCGTTTCGACTTCTTCCGCCACCGCGTGTCCGAGCGATCACGATCCGATTCTTTAGAAGCTTACAGGTACTCGTAGTGACGGGCGCGCTCGTTTTCTCTCTCGCGACGGTCCTCGAGAGAGTGACGGATCTCTCTCTCTCTCTCTCTCTCTCGTCTGTCGGACGGGTGCGCATCTTTCCCCGACGACGACGGGGGGCAACGATAGGATAACGATCGATTGAACTTATGAAATTTTTAGAACGAGATCGACGCGAATTCTAGAAAACCGTACGTAATAAATAATTACCGCGCCGTTGTGTTGTCGCTTTCACTCTTTGCTGATTACATCTTTACTACCGCGAGGACGGAGAGGAAAAAACCCGCACAAAAAGAATCAAGCTGGACTTGATTTTTGAGCTTTTCGCAATTCACCGATCCGATTGCATGGCATTTAATATCGACTAAGAAACTAACGAACGAAAAAATTCTTCTTGTATCTCAAATTAATATCAGTGACGATATCGTCTCTCGGCACCTCGTCGCTCGAGAGTATAGCTGTATCGGATGTTGCAAAACACACATCTATACATATATATATAAATATAAATATAAATAATATAATATATTTTGATCTGTCGATTAGTTAAACGAATAAAGACTGATAAATACCTAACGAATGTTTTGTTCTTATGCGGCACGTTAGGGAGGATCCAGCCTGGAGGACGAATAACTCGTTTTCGTAACTCGTATTGACACTTTGACACTTGTTCTCGTGTTGCCGAGATATTAATAACATTTTACATGAAGAAGATATTTTTAAAGAAGAATTACCTTTTAACTGCTTGATGATTTCCATCGATTTTCTTTCCGTTCTTGATAGATACTCCTTGAATATATACTTGGAAATTTTCGTGCATTTAATCTGAGTCCAATCAGTAACAATTTCCAACTTCGCTCGTTCTCTCTCTTTCTCTCTCTCTCTCTCATTCTTTCTCGATCGTATCGAAACTTCGCTATTCATCTTTTATTAAATCAAGCTCTGACGTTGTTCGCTGATTGGCCATTGTGTCATCGGAAAGGTTGTAATCGATGACCACTGCACGTTCCGTGGACTTTCCGTTCTCGTTCGAGCGTCGCTTGGGCTTGAAAAAGCTCGCCAGCAAGTGGGGAATATAATTTCGCGGGGTGTAACTTGAAGGGAGTTCCGAAGAAGGAAAATTAGCCGGTTCCTCGTTCTCTTCACCGACCGACGGGGGTCACCGGAGTCATCGAAGTTAGGTGTCTCGTTTCGGCGTGCCGATAATTCCCTTCACCGCGACGAACCAAATCCCCGTTCGCACAGCCAAGGAACAAAATCGTGAAGAGTACAACAGAATTAACGCCCTGACAGTCTTCGTTCAATGCGTGGAGCGAGGAACATCGGGGAAAACACCAGCTACGGGACACGCGGCAAAATCGACGGGAAAATTACCTGCGCTCTCTGCGACGAGGTGAGCCCACCGATCGAGTAGCCGTGCTTGCGCGCGATTACGGAATACAAGTTTTTTTCAGTAACTCGAAGAAATCACGTCGCGCCGGTCGGAACGTAATCAGAAGAACGGAGGAGCTTCACGCGCACGGAAACGAGAGCGTTTGCACAAATGTTTGCGCCAAGTAAGAACGTCGTCGACTTTCATTGACGGATCATATTGCGAATCGCAATATTTCGAAAATATTCGCAGAACGCGTCTGGCTAAGATCGGCCGGCAGAGACTGTCGAGATCCTCGCGAGATCTCGACCGCCCTGACAATCTGGATTCGCGAAATGGTCGATCGAGCGGCGACATCAGCGGCAGCCCGCGGCTCGACGTTGTTCTGGACGACAAAGTCAAGACGAGGTCGAAGACGAAGGGAATTGAGGCGGCTCAAATTAAGCGCGACATTGTACGTTGATCCGCCGTCTCTCTTTCTCTCCCGAATATTTTTCAATTAAACGCGCAGTCCTTAATTAATTCCCTTCGAAATGAAGCAAGCATAACTCGCGTGTTTCAGTTTAAAAACAATTTCGTTTGGGATCGTTGGAACGAACTCGTGGGTTTTCTCTCTCTTTTTTCTTTTTTTCTCGCGTCAGGAGGGAAGCTCATTGTCGACGCTAATGAGGAAACTCCTCCCGAAAAATAGGTGGCGGAAAATATAACGAAGCAAGGGAAGAAATTGCGCGCGAATCCCGTGAGGATACCGGCAACGAGTAATTTCGTCTACGAATTTAACCCGTTCGTCGGCCGTGCCGCGGATTCGCTAACGCCGCGGACCTGCTCGCAGTCCACGCACCACTCGAACCACCGAGGACTGCCTTCTGCGAAAACAGGTGCCGAAATTGCACGTTCCAATTGTACATTTTCAGATACACCCCGAATTACCGTGTGTGCAATTTTTAATTACATCGAACGCGCACGAGAGAGACAGAGCAATGATAACGAACGGAGGAGGACGCGTTTCGACGCGATCATTTTCTCCCTGTCATTTTTTCGACTTACCCTCCGAATATCTGCACAGAAAAGGATAGTCTTAAATACATCGATAAAAGTTCAATCGAGTTTAGATTAAAAGTCTTCTAAGAAGACTGTAAGATTCTTGCTTATATATATGAGAGTATCCATCATTGATTTATATGTAAGACCGATTTTTCTATCGCGTGAAAATCTAAGGTTTAAGATCTAAGAATACGATGGGAAAGGTCTTCTGTTCTCGTCGGCATTAATACCCGTCAATTACACGTAGCTCCGACGTCGGCGAAGTCTGCATTAAATCGTGACACGGACTTCGCGAGGCCGAAAACGTCCGCCCTGCCGGAATTAAACATGCGCGTTGATTTCATAACGGGCGCTGATCCAGACGCGACAGTGACGAATCTTAATCGGGACGCTCGTTTGCCGACACTCAGCAAGGGGGATCAGACGAGAACGTCGGGCAGAGGACTCCACGATAGATGTGAGTTTATTATCCTTCCTTTCGTTGCGGCTCTATCCATTTCTTCCCCTATGCTCTTCTCTTTCCATCATTTCGATTCATAGGGGAAAAGCGCCAAATTCGACGTACCATTTTGTTCTTCCGAAATCCTGTTGAAGGTGTATTATGAAAAATTTATGTGCATATCCTACGCGCGTGATATTCCTAGAATATTCTCTATTGTCGCAGACAAGCGGAGCGACGTGGACGACAAAGTGGATCGCGTGAAGTCAGCTTGGCGGGCGTTACGGGAGAGTAAGAATTGGGCCGAGGGGAAGGTTCACGTCGACCAGGTTGGCCCGAGCAAGTGGTCCGAGATCATCGGAAGGATGACGCGCGACGCGGACAGGATTCAACGGCGGTACCCGGCGGGCCCAGAGGCGAATCCTTACCCGCGCGCGACCGACGTCTCCGAAGCGGCGACGCGCAAGTCGAGCCTGGAGGAGGAGCACTTCGCGAGAAACATTCTACTCTTTCCCGAGAGGAGGTTCCCAAGATTCAGGTCGGCGAGTTACAATCGCTCGGGCAACTTGGGAACCGGCGTGATCCAGCGGAAAACACGGACATATCACGAGGAAGCCGCGGAAGACACCTTGTCCGAACGCCCGTTCTCGTCGGAGACGCGACCGATACACGCGCGGGATATCAAGGATCGCTCGGTCGCGAGAAAAACGGGCATTCGAGCTTCCATCGAGGAGTACTTGCGGAATTACATCGACGGAGTTCACAGGTCGCCCGGGGAGGACGAGGCGGAGGTGCGATCACGGGATGCGGCGAGCGAAATCACGGACGTGTTCGCAAGTCTCGATATCGAACCGTTGAAGGTCCTTTACGAGGACCTCTGGAGAAGAGAGAAACAGGACGAGGCTCGCGTCGAGGATACCGAAGGAAGCGCGGGGAAGGACGACGGGGAAGGCTCGAACGTAGCGCGAATCGAGTCTGTATTCGATGGTATTCAGCGGGATAAGACATGGGGTGGTGAGAAGGTGGAGGAGCCGGAAAATGACGGCTCGTTGGTCGGTGTTGCTTGTTCGAAACAATCGGCGGCGACGAGTTGCGAAGATGACGCTTTTATTAAAACAGGACTGAACGTGATCCCGAACAAAGGTGCAGCCGGTGATAAACTGTCGCGAATATTGCGGTCGGAATACTTGAGGAAAGATCTGCTCTTGTAATCCACTTGTGGTGAATAATATCAGCTGGGCTCTCGCATGTCGCGTTGCTTCTTATGCGACACGAATAGAATAGTCGGCTCGCTTTGTTATCGCTCTTCTAAATCATCGTTCGAGTGAGTAGTCCGAACGCTTTTTATAAACCTCACTGCCTACCGCCGGCTTTTCATCGCGACACACGACGAACCGATGTCTCTCTCTCTCTCTCTCTCTCTCTCTCTCTCTCTCACTCTCTCTCTCTTCGATGTTTTAAATTACTTAAAAATATATATATATATACATATAAACGTGAAAGTTAAAATTTCTTTTTTATATATATATACAGTCTTGCGCGTTTTATAGAATATACATTTCGTGTCCTATAACTCTGGCTAAATTAAAATCTGATATATCAGAACATATCACAAAATGTTGTCCACTAATTCGCATTATGTATATGTACAGATGTACGCAGTGTTGTAATGGACACGTTCTTCGAAGTAAACTCGATACAAATATCGAGAAGGAAATACAAGTAGATACGCGTGCAAGTTTCGTGTGAATAAATACAGATACGCATACCATGAGATTATAATGTAGATGCACTTCGTGAAATATCCGTTCTCACAGTGCATGTATCTGTGTCTAATTGTTCACCTCGAATTTATATCTGCTTACATTTCTCGTTCGATATCCAGTAGTCCTCTTCGAGGTACGCATCTGTGTTACGATACTGTATACATACGCATATAAATTAAAGCACACGATGAGTTTCGTAAACGCACATCCTCGGTTAACTGCCGTCAAGCCAATTCCATTCTGTCATACATCTATACGCTATATATATAGAGACTATGGCACTATTTTCTCCGTGAAAATCACATTGCGCTAATTCAATGAAATGATACTCGATTAAAATATAAATGATCAGCGTCTTGATATGTCGTCGACTGGCCGATGCGTAATGATCGAACGCGCATTCATCTGCGCGTATGCGTGCACGTGTCGTGTGTGTGTGTGTGTGTGTGTGTGTGTATGTGTGTGTGTAGGCTCGCGAGTTTCACAGCAAATACATTAGAGATCGCTCACCGAATATGCAAACACGCACTTTTGCATTAACCGCCTTCATCAATAGACACTTGATCGCTTCTTTCTCTTCGGCGACGACGCGCCAGCGTTGCCCGAGAGGCGGAGCATATCACAATACTGGAAGCGCCGAGCTGTGGCTCTGGTATATTATAGCCCCGGTGAAGTTAATCGCTGCCGCCAGCACGAAAACCGGCATCCACCAGCCGTGCGAGGCGGTCACCAGCTCGGCCGTCAGCGGACCGCACAGAATCCCAGGTACTGTCGCCTGAAAAACGCGTAACGTGTGCTATTAACAACGGTTAATTCAGTTAATTGACTTGACAATTATAATTAATCGATTGGTGATTAATTAACTGGTGATCAGGCTTCTTAATTAATAATCATCAATACGTACGCATCACTTATCTAAGTCTGAGGCTACCTCGACTAATAATTATAATTATATATAATCGATAATTAATTAATCATAACATGCTGTATCGATATGCAGACGCATATTACAAAGTCGTTCTTACAATCGTATTTGAAACTGCGAATGTGACTCCCGCGTGATTCGGCGCTATGTCTGCGTGATTACTGAGATGCCCGGCAGAATTGCACGCGCAGAGGCCCATGGATATCGAAACGAAGCTGCGAAATCGTAGTTCGGGTATAACTCACGAAGTGAAATTTTCCTTTTCTTTTGTTTATTATTCATAATTGGCCACAGTTATGCAAGGAGGATCCAATCCACACGGAGTACGTTTCGAGAAAAATGAAAAGATGAAAATTTGATACACGATTTAAAAGGTGTAAAATTGAGGTTCTTCGCAAATTAGAAATTATTTTTTAAATAATTTCAAACGCCCGTAAGGATTTATAATTTTGTGGGTTGGATCTTTCTTGCATAACCATAGCCAATTCATGGACGAGGAAATCATTGATCTTCATGAAGTCATTGATCTCCATGAAAAAAAAAAAACAATACGGAGGCAATGTGTTGTTATACACACATGACTGCTGCGAGGAGATTATCTACGGCACAGAAAGCCAATAGGAATGCGCCAGGTCCTACTAGGCCTATGTTTGTCATTAATCTTCTCACAGATAATACCGACCATCTCTTTTGTATTAAGCTATCAGCACTGTGGCCGGCAACTGTAATAAAACGAATGAAAAAAACAGATGTACGCTTACAGAGATAAATCCGAGCACAGTTGGAAGATTCCCTACAAGCGCGTAATATTCCTGGATTATTATATGAATATTGTTAAATATTAAAATAATATTCTTATAATATTCTAAGAATGTTATGTAACATCTTTTAATATCACAGGAATGCTCTATTCGTATAATATACATATAATATTCTTGGCATTTTCTAAAAATGTTCTTGAATATTAGAAAAATATGTAATATCACAATAACATATATTAAATAATATTATTTTTTTTTATATTATTAGGAGTGGACATATAACCATCTATTAACATTCCAGAAATATTACTTAACATTAAGTAACATTACGCGCTTATAGGGTTACGATTTTGTTGCGCACTCACCAATACCAATAAGAGAGTTAACAATGTAAGGGAGCGCTGTCAGGCTAATGCTTTCCTTGTTTGCCGACAGATTTCTTGCCAAGTAAGTTGGCAGCCATTGCATTATTATATAGTTAGTCCAGTTCATCGCGAAATGCGCTATATACAAAGCCCACAGAGGCCAGTAGGCGATGAATTCGGTCCACCGTAAGCTTCTGTTTTGTGTTACCTGTCAGATATTAAGAAGTGAGTGCGTGTCGTGTCTTTATTACAAAGTAGTCAAATACAGGGCGTGCCTCGGGTATCCAGTCAAACTGAAAGAGGCGATTCTTTGGTCTATCTCAAGTAAAAGAAGTTCTAATAATTGACCTTACGAATTTACCTTAGGAACAAACAATGGTATCTCATCCTGAGAGTTAGTTTCTTGATACAACATCAACCACAACAAAGTCCACAAAATACCTATAGTCCCAAATAGATAAAATCCAGTTTGCCATGCCAAGTGTGGGCATATCTGAAGGAAGAACACAGTGGAGGGTATGTATGTATTTATCTGTGACTCGCAAGGTGTGATCTTCCGTGTGAGAAAAACTTACAACGGAGGCAACCACTTGGCCGACGGAACCGGCAGCTATCAGATAACCGAAAGCGCGTGACCTTTCCTCCACAGGAACATTATGGGCGAATAAGTGAAATATCACTGGTAGGCCTGCGCAGGAAACAATCTCGTTAACATCTTAACGTAAGAAAAGAAAATAAGTCAAAATAAGTCATATTCCTACAAGGTAAGAAATTTTTCGTTAAGTCGCGGTAACGATTCAACTTGTTCAATGAAGCAAGGAATGCATGCCAAGATTCTTTGCGTCATATTTTCAAGTAAAGAAATATAACCACAAGATGGCTTTGGTGATCAGCACACTTTTGGTAAAATCGGACGAACACTTTTCCAGTCTTACCTAGTCCTTCCCCGAGTCCTAAAACCACCCTGCAGAATATCAACAGCGGCACTGACTGTGCTAACAGAGGAGTGACCACCGTGCTGATGGACCATAACAAAACCGCCAGCATGAGTACCGTCTTGCAGCCAAAGCGACTGGCTGTGCTCGCGCCGATGATCTTGAAGAAAGAAAGAAACGACACATTGATACACAAATATATGACATTTACGCAGCAACTTACGGTCTGTTCTCTTTCACTGAACTAATATACATTGGTAGAACTTAAGAAGAGGCAAATATAAGTAGAAATTTTGTGAAAGAAAAGGAAGAAAAGAACTGGTACAAGCTAATGCTTCAGTCGGTTTAGCAAAGAAGAACAGACCTGATAATATATATATATTTATATATATATATATATATATATATATATATATAGAGAGAGAGAGAGAGAGAGAGAAGGGCGAGACTGTCATCTCACCTGACTGGTGAAATATCCGAAGGCGAAGGCGGACAGAATCCAGCCTTGCCAGTAGAGGTTCCACTTGAACTCGTCTGTCATCGGCACGATCGCGATCGGCATGATGACCCGGTCTGCGGCGTTAATGAAATTCGCGGCTGAGCAGAGCGCGACGATCCGCGACGTGCGGGGCAGCATCCTGAATCTCGGCATTTTTCTCGCGCGCGAATCGTCAAGCTCGCAGATTGCAAGTCACATCGCACACATTATCCGAGTTTGATTCTCGCCGTCTCCCCTCGTGCTTCCCGTTCTCAGGAAAGCGGCTCGTGCACGCGCTCGTCGTGCTGCTCGCCGTACGGAACAAAGGGAACGAGGCGGAAACCTAACCTCCACACCGCTGCGAGGGACGAGTGGGACTTCTTACGGTGAAGTAATCGCAGGAGTTCACCGGGGTGAAACGTTCGAAAACATCGGGAACGCGTCGACTCGCTCGTGTTCCGGCGATAAACACGCCGTGTTGGTGTTAGAAATTACGATTAAGCGTCATAATGACGCGAGAGAGCCAACGGAGCACGAGTATGTGTTACTACAGAATCGACGATTTGACGTGTCAACACAGTCTCTCTCTCTCTCTCTCTATGAATGGCTTCGAGATACACACATACACAGCCACAGTGGCTCCGAAGCGACGTTCGACCGACGAATCGATGTTCGATTGCACTTTTCTTCCAGATTCGAGTATCGGCTCGATATTTTGAAATTCGACCGATGCTCGTGTCGCGTAATATTTTTAATTAGATGCTATTAGATTTTATTGTTACTTTTTATCGTAACATTTAGGCCAGTATTCATAATCGGTTGTAACAATTTTTGTTTCTCATATCCAATCATCCCAAGAACAGTTGGTCAACTGCATATAAAAGGCTTGCTACAAAATTATTATTAAAGAAATTCAAGAGGGGAGGAAAGCGTAATAATAAAATACTTTTACATCAATCCGACGGTATGATTGTTCTTGCTTTAAGCACTTCAAGCTTTAAGATGCTTCTTGAACGATCTCGATAGCGTCATTATTGCGAAAGTTACTGCCTGTTGAATTTCACTTATGTTTTATTTTACAATGGAGAGTACGTCTGACCAGCCCTTGAGTCATACTACTTAAGAAAAGTACTTCCGGTTCCATCGTTTAGTCATATCACGACCTCATTTTTTTTTTTTATTGAAAGTAAATAGCGTACAAAAGGTATGTACATGGTCTAGGATCTAAGCCTATCCGAAACCACGACCTCAGTTCTCGTTACGTACAGTGAAGACTCGTAGTGGGGATTCTGGAACTAAGTTACAGAAATAACGGGTTTACGGAATTATTAGACCCGTTATTTCTGTAACTTAGTTCCAGAATCTCCGCTACGAGTCTCCACTGTACATAACGAGCAACTGAGGACGTGTTAGAAAGTTTCCAGTCTGCCTTGAAAGTGTATAGAATGATTCTTATCGCAATTTATGCACCTGTTGTTTTCCCTGCATGGGAATTCGGGAGAGTTCCTATGTCCTCCCCTACATTCTAGACATCTTTCTGCGGATCTACAGAACTTGGTGGTGTGTCCGAAGCGGTCACATTCGTAGTAAAGTCGGACCGCCGGTATATAGGGCGAGACGTTGATTCTAGCTTTCCAGATGAGGATGGTGTCTGGTAAAGTTTGTCCTCGGAATTCAATACGCACAGTGGGTGAGTCAATCCACGTATTAGTGTCTTTGTTCTTCCTTTTCAGCCCCGGCGTATACAACCCTCACCAATTATACACTCAAATAGTTAATTTATAAGACTATTAAAAAAATTTGTTTATTCATCGACACCAAAACTATGTAATCCACACAGACAAATTGTAATACTATAGCGATCACGGGTCGGTTAGGCTAAGTTCCTAGACCATGTACTCCTTTTTATACACCCTTTACTTGCAATAAAAAAAAATGAGGTCATGATTGATCGTTTCGCTCTGTAGACTTAGATCAGGACACACTTCTTTGAATGAGGGTCTTTTTAAATTGAGAATAGTTGACTCTCCCAACTGTCCTCAATGTAATGTTCTAGAGTCGGCTGATCACGTGATTTGGCAATGCCCTCGTTTCGAAAATCAGAGAAATATTCTGATAAAGAATGGGGAATGTCCATTTTCCGAACCCTGCCTTGGCCGGTGCACTCCTTGCTGACGACTAAAGACCTCAATAGCTATTCTCTGTTAGGCTATTTTATAAATGGAATCAATATAACTTTTTCCTATATGTATACTTTTAGGTGAACCATTATCTTTAAGTCAAAAACCTTTTCAGTCTATAAGCTATCTCTATTCTGGTGTAATAGTAAAAGTAATATAAGTAATATAAGTAATATAGGTAATATAAGTAACTTAAGTCTAAGTTGAAAGTGAATTTTATTTGTAATATCTAGACTTTCTATATAAAATACTGACGAAGGTACAAAATAGTCTATATCCTCTGACCAATCCGGTCACAGTAGCGATCAACTAAACCAAATAGTTGCGTAGCTAATTCATTTAAATTCGCGTGCGATCTATATAAATAATCTACACAGGCACGTACCCATCTTATTTGGATTTTCATTCATACTTTTTTCTGTTACATGTATTTTTCTTTTTAATTTGATTTTTGTGAAGACTGGTTGACTTGTAATCTAAGAATCATCTACGACTTATTCTGAAAAGAATTATTTTCTTTCTTTCGGCTATTCTGGGAACACCCAAGTGGTACTATAAGCGATGGCGAAAACAGCTTTGTATTTCTTCCCTTCTTCTTTTCTTTTTAATCGCTAAAACTTTATCCGTCTCCTGGCGTGTATTGTACTCTTTAGATATTTACTCATTCAATACATAGAACTATAAAAATTGTTTATTTACTGGTATCAAAAGAAATATATTTACCTGTCAAAAATGTAATACTCTGACACCCATCGGTCGGATAGGCTTAAATCCTAGACCATGTACATACCTTTTGTACGCCATTTACTTTTAATAAAAAAAAAATGAGGTCGTGATATGACTAAACGATGGAGTCAGGCGTACTTCTATTTCTCAAGTAGTACAACTCAAGGGTTGGTCATGCTATCCATTACAATAAAAGCAGGCGAAATTCAACAAGCTATAACTTTTGTAAAAGTGACGCTATAGAGATCGTTCAAAAAGCACTTTAAAGCTTGAAGTTTTTAGTTTTTAATCAGTAATTAGCAATAATTAATGTTGTCGTTAATTTATTGGGAGAAAAAAAAACAATTATTCATTCATATTTTTTTTTAATAAAATTTCTTATTTATTTATCAAGAGATGAGCACAGAGCTATTGTACAAAAAGAAGATCATAGGCGTCTCGTAACATTGAAGAAAAAGGGAAGGCGCTACCGTACTCGTTTATTCCGAGGGTAGGCACGATCGTAAGGAGCGTAAGGATTTTAAGGAGGATCAAGAGTTCGGGCGGGAGGCTCTATTTACAGCTGGCAGCGTCGAGAGTCGTTGAATTAGGGCATATCAAACGGACGGCAGGTGCTGTCCCTCGGGGCGGAATCCGTTCTCGTCGGCTACGTAGTTGACGGTGTACCTGACGTTGGTGGCCGGGTCGACGTAGGTGAAGCTACCGCGTACGCGCAGGGCAGCGTTGTCGGTGCCGGCGTTCGCCAGCTCGGCGGATTCCTGGCGGGCCTCACCGTTCGACAGTTCGTAACCGAACTGGTAGCCGTCGATGCCGATGTTGTCCAGTGGGGTCTCCTTGACCAATACGGTCTGGCTGTTGTCGAGGGGGGGTGCCGCGAGAGCGACGGCCACGAGGGCGCAGAGGGCGATGATCTGAAAAAGCGAGGATTAATTCCCTTTTTTCAGCGATTCGTTAACTTTTGAGGAAACGTAAATTGGGGAAACACATTTGCTCGATCTCGAATCTGTTGCTCTTAAAACAGTTGCCGGTTAAGTCACCTTATTTTTTTTTCTTTCTTTTTATTTTTTTTTCTTTTTACGTAAACCATCACAAACATTTGGTATGCTTATTCTGTTTCTTAAATATTTTTTTTTTTAAACCAGAGGGTATATCTGTATTTATAATCCTTGAATAATTGTAAATCATAGAGCAATCGATAATATGCTATGTCTCATAAAGCGACTTTTAATTGGGGTCTAAATGACCCTAAGATCACTCCCAGGTTAAGGGATTAATTAAAACTACCCAGTGATCCACCAATTAACGGTAATATCACATCGACGTTATAATTTCTCACTCAACAATGTAACTTTCAGTAAGCAAGAAACATGAAATCAGTCTGTTGAAACATTGATTTTACGCGGATTTTGACATATAATATTTTATGCAAGATTATAGCTCGCAAAAAGTTACACCGTTATTAATTATATTCTGTTAGAGCCATCTTTCTCGCGTCATCGGCTTGAAAACTCGTTCCGCGGCTTGGGTTATTCCCAAGAGCGAGAGATGCAGAATTCTTTCTTGAGTTAAGGTTGGGTTAAATTGCGAATACCTACTGTTTTCATGTTGAAGGTAGATGCGCAGCTACTCCGACTCGGTAGAGAAGACTGTTGTGGATAGACGAAATCAGCGGCGATTTTATACTGATCCTCCTACTGCCAAAATTCGTCCCAGGACTACGCCAATTCACCTCTCACCTTTCTTCCCGTATCGCGTTATTTAGCACGTGCGTCTATCGTGGTCAAGATTTTGACCTTCGTGGAAATTCCTCGCACGGACAATGCTCGGATGCCTCCGAAACCTTTCGCGCTTTCGATCAAAATCGGCCGCGCCGAGCGTTACCGATGTGACGAAATTTCATTCGCGCGACATACTTTTCATACACGTAACGAGCGATAAAATTACTTAATTACTTCTCCCCGAGCGCAATGAACATAGGAATTCACATTTTCAAGCGTTTCAAACTGAATCCTCGAGAAGATTATATCGACGTAAAATTAAAATAATAATCGCCTCAATATCACAACATTTATAAAATTATATGACGAAGTCTTGCACGAAATTTGTGACGCTGCAATTATATTGGATATATTAAGAAAAAAATACATGTAGACATATTGGTTTTTTTTTTAAATATTGATAACTGTTTGCGCAATTAATTTGTAAATGATATCTCGGCAAAATAGCGCTATCATGAATCATTTTAACGGGATATTTGCAAAATTAAATTTGGAAAGAAATTGCCCAATTAGTTAGGAAAAATTGCTCAGCTATGTTATGTTTAAAACATTTAGAAACATAATTGTGCTTAAAGGAAAGAATTAAAATGATGCATATTTATGCTTCATTGTGCTAAAAATGCACAGTTATTCCTAAATTATAATTGAAAAATATTGCACTATGAAATATTACAAATTCAATGTATGTCGAAGCTTTAAATATTGAAATAAATATTGAAATAATTGTGCAATAATAATAAAGAAACATCCCGAATTGGATTTGTTTAATTTCGGACAAATGCCACTTTGAAATTTTATTCCGACAAAACCATACATTATAATGAATTATCTTCGTGCAAAGATTAGGAGATTAAGCTCGATTAATATCAATTAAATACCAAATACCAAATAAATCAACATATGTACTCTCAAGTGTGATCTAAACCAATTGTCCGACAATCACGAGGTAAGGGAGAATTTAACCTTCTTCCCATTTTATTCGACGCGATTATTCGTTATTGTCGCAGCCTCCGGGCTTCCTAATTAGAGTGCCACCCCGTGGAAAGCGGGAAGAATTTCCTCGTAAATCACGGCGTCCTCGGCTCAAAGCGACGATAAATTACTACAATTGCTTGGGCTTTCCCCCTTCGGCGAGATTTCAACCCGGGGCAATGCAGCTCGCAATGTCAGAGCCTTGAAGGCATCGTCGGCACGCAAGAATAACCCGGCATTTTTAATGTCGCTCGCGCGATACGATCAAGGGAAACTACTCTCCGCCGGATTCTCTCGCTCGTACATTTCGCATTGCGAAAGATGAATGCCGCGTCATCGCGTTATAACGTAATCGTCGCTCGTCGTCTCTCGGCACCCTTTATCGTCTTATTGATGGATTACGCCGAAGGATTACGCCGCTCGGGAAAGAATGTCGCCGAGAGAACTCATCGGACACGGCGTGTTAGAGCCGTGTCGACTCGCCGCTCGTTAATTTACATATAACCAATTGCATCCGACAAATTGGACATTCGGGGGATTCGAGAGTGGGAAGCCCGATGAAGAGAAATGAAGAGAAGAAACGAGCCGCAGTATTCGCCGGCGATATCCTCGAACTTTAGACGGGCTCGATCAAATCAGCTCGATGGAAATCAGCGGGGCGGCCGACAGCGGGACCCGTTAATGGGGGAGACCTTCGAGCTCGATAATGTCTGATTGATTGGTAACCGGCGTTTTCACAACAATAAAATGATTTTCACAATGATTCACGTCGTAAGACGCGAGTGATTTCCCAGTAATCTCGTAATGGCATCTCCTTTCTTAAATTTGTCCTGTCAAGGTAATGATAACCGTTATTCGCAGGGTTCTTTGCTTTCTGCAAAGATCGAACGAGTTGACATTTACGACGCTCGTTTTGGTACATGTGTCTCCGATCGGTGAGTATTGCATTATCTTTTAACACGACATTAATACCTCTCTCTTTCTCTCTCTCTCTCTCTCTGTCTCATTGCGACCCACGCAGTAAGATATTATGCATGTACATGCATATAATGTGATTGATGCACGTGTAATAAACACGAAGGAACGTGATGTGTTTCGAGGTAGCTGCAGTAAATATGCATATAAGAAGGCGGCCGCGTTCCTCCTCGAGAAATCCAATTTTCGCTCGCTGCCATTTCTGCAATCGGAGGGTCTCAAATCACCACGCACTACTTGAAATTTTCGACCGCGTCGGAGGAGTCGTGCGGGATCAAAAGGATCCTGAAACGGCGAAACGCGGCTGAAGTAGCCGTAACTAACACACAGGACAGGTGAGTGAGTTACGAGCCGGCCATAAATCCGCGGCGACGAACACTTTTACTTTTTGCGGCGGGAGACCCGTCTTTCTTCTTACCGAATTGCCGGTGTCGATGAAAGAATGGAAATAAAATAGCCGTGTGTGCGTTATTACACCGTAACGATCTCTTATTATAGTACGCAATTATCGCAATTTCACGTTCGTCACGACGTGTCGTACACGGAGAAAAAGGTTCCCTCGGATTTGGTGTGTGTGCTTGTTTGACTTGGGTTTGTTTAATACAAACAACATAATTTAATGTCAAGCGTCATTTCGTTCGAACGAAAATATTGTTAATTCATCATGAGAGTAAACCATGTTGTTTGATGGAAAAAATAGTAGGAAACTTAGGAGACTTAGGAGAAATAATATTTCAATAGAAAAATTGATTTCATTGTGTATTCAATGTTGTCCCACTGAAACGAGGAAATTTTTTCTTTCCACTTAACATATTCAGACAGCGCAACGTCTAAAGTCGGGTCACAAGAAGTCTTAAAAATTGCCTGGGGCAATGTTATTTTTTTTTCAGATAATTTATTGCTTGTGACAACCACGGTAAGGTTCGAATGAAAATATAAAAGAAATATATTGTTTATTCTCAAACTGAGCAATCCTATTTGTTGGATCAAGTATTCATTTGTTCGCTCTATTCCAACGGCAAACAGGCGCGTTACTTAAAACGAAGACTTAAGGGGACGTTATTTGAAAACTTTTTACCGACGGAATACTGATTTTTTTCCCGCAAAGTTTACATTGGTTGCATAGAATTACACATAAAAATTAATTGTTCAATATGTAATGAAAACGATCAAACATTTCAAGACTAAATCTCGACCTTTCAAGTAAATATTTATCTAAAATAAAAACCTTGCAACTTGTCGAGTGTGTCATCTTATTCACATTTGCGTCGCATTAACTAGAGTCTTAAACTGAAAAGCAGTTTTGTTTACGATCGATAAAAAACCGCTGTATAATATTAAAGTAAATAAAAAATGAAAATTTAGACAAAAATTGAAAGCATGAAACATTGTTTTGCAAGATTACACGGCCATTCTGCCGAAGTTCTAAGTTTATCGCAGTTTTGGGAACGAAATACGAGTAAACGGAGTAAGAAAGAAAAAGAGAGAGAGAGAGAGAGAGAGGCACAGGAATGTTACTTAAAGGTGAATTTATTTAAATTATACTAAGTTTCTAAGTTCGTGTCGACGGTTTAAGCTGGCAGGTGGGCGCCTTGCGGCTGGAATCCGTTCTCGTCGGCGATGTAGTTGACGGTATATCTGACATTGGTGGCCGGGTCGACGTAACTGAAGCTACCCTGGACGGCGATGCTCTCGTGGTCGGTGCCGAGGTTTGCCACCTGGGCGGACTCCTGGCGGCTCTCACCGTTCGACAGCTCGTAACCGAACTGGTAGCCGTCGATGCCGATGTTATCCAGCGGGGTCTCCTTGACGACTACGGTCTGGCTGTCGTCGTAGACGGGTGTCGCGAGAGAGACGGCCACGAGGGCGCAGAGAGCGATGATCTGGACAGTAATAGTGTCGTTACAGCGTTACACTAATTTGTCAATCGTTGCCGATCGTGTAAAATAAAATAATTCGATGTAGAGAGAGAGAGAGAGAGAGAGAGAGTGGAAAAGTTTATTACATGGAAAAAAATATTTTGCTGGTAAATTATTAGCTTATAGAGAAAACAAAAAAATTTGTTTGGACAGCAAGAAGATTTGGTTGTGCCAGCTAAATTTCATCGCTGTCGCAACAACAGCGAAATTATTTTTTTTCCGTATAACAAATCTCTACTGTCCCCATAGTAACAAACAATTTGCTGCACCGGTAAAGCGACTTTTCCTCCCGTGTAAATCTTATGTTATTATATTTATTATATTTCTTGCGGCAACTTTTATTTGAACCTCGAAATTTCCTCTCGCAAATCTCGCGCAACGATCGGAGGCTGCAACACCTTTACTTCAATAAGTTTCACGATGCGTCCCGTCTTCAATAGAAAGATATTATATCTCCTGAGAGAACAACAACTGAAGAAGCATATCCTCCCCTATGGAATACGAGAATGCGAGACTCGTCGAGACAAAAGTGCCGCAAGCTTTTCTCTGTCCGACGGAGTGCTCGCGATAACGGCAAATTTTGCATACAAATTGCAGATTCGATTCCACGTTACACGGCAATATAGATTGCGTTTCCCGCGTTATTATTCCGCGTTTTTACTCCCTCTGTCTCTTATTTTCCGAGCCCCGTGAGCGAAAAAAACCACCCCGCGATTCCCGAGCGTCCATCGCGACAATAACGCCAACTGGTTAATTATAACAAACGTGACATGGCATATCGCGTAACACGCGCTCGATGATCGCCCGTGATATCCTTAAAGTCCCCGAAAATCGCCTTAAGGGGGGGGGAGGGGGGAGGTCACTGCACCGAGAGGATCGCGGGATCCGCGGATTCGTCGGGAATCTCAATGACTTCCGTCATCCGTCGTCAAAGAGACCGCCGCGTGCACAAGATCGATCGGTCGCGGTTAGCACTCTCTCTAATCCCGCGTATCGTTACTGACGAAACCTCAAACAGCACGCACCAGCTTCATCATGGTGTTGGCAGCTGTACGATTCCCGTGTTCTGGAGATAGGAGAGGTGGATGACCTGAGCTGAGGTGATGGCTCGTCGAAACTGATGCGACATGCGATCGATGGTGAATATATATATAGCCGGATTTCTGTACCAATTACACGCTACCCCTACCCGTGTGCGCTGCCAAAATTGTCCCGTGTTCCCATGTCGAAATCCTCGGATGACCGGCAAGCCGGTCCGCCGCCCGAACGAACGGGCGATGGCATAACGACACGGCCCCCCCGAGAATGTCACGTAAGAACGGCTGGAGGAACGGACGGCGTTTCACCTGGGTCGGGTCGAAACGCCTAAATCCTCTTTCGCCGGCGAATTTCTTCCCGTGATAGATAACGTAGCCGGCCATACCCGCACACGTGGCTCATTGAGTTACGACGTGACGGACACGTACGTTCGTGAATTTTTGCGAGCGAGAGCGAACGTCCGATTTCGCATCACGACGTCATCGTCGACGGGTTGTAAATGGTTAGCGAGCTCTCGTAACGAGCGCGTACGTTGAGATCATCCGCGAACGTACGATCGTAATCCGAACCGTTAACGCGGGATCTCGCAACTTCAAATGCACTTTGAGAGATAAGCCTCGCTAAAGGTTAAAGGCGTAAATCCCTTTCCTCGCGCGTGTCCTCTTGATCCGGCGGCCGACTGTGACGATGCCTCGAGCGTGTTACGCAATACAGACTCATCTCTCGATGCGGATATTATCATAAACACGGGGCTCTAATGTATTTGGTCAGTCGTATAAATTCTATGGATCGTGGCGGAATAATATAATGTCATGCGTGGTTCTCGTTGCGTCACGCGTGTTTCGCGTGATTCGAAAATTTCGAACGAAATTTGTCCCAGACGGTGTAAATTTGGAAAAGAAAGAAGAATGAGACTTCTTAAGGACGTCGGAGAAATATCTCAGAGAGATAGGACATCTCCCGTACGTGTCTTGAGATCCCGGAATCTTGTATTAACATTTTGATGATTGCTTGCTTGAAGCATTAACTAATGCTATTATTATTTTTTACCGGCCATTCCTTCATAGGTCAACATAAATTAATTAATACAAGGGAAAAAAGGCAATAGGAAAGCTGCAGCCGCAAATGCGAGCGAGTGATAAATGATATTTATCACGCGCTGACATCTGCACTCGACTCTTTCTTGCCTTTCTTTCATCTTCATTGTTTTTACTTACAGAGCCTTAATAACACTTACTTGTTAATTAATACCGGGATTAGATGATAAATAGTTGCTGAAGTTAAAAGTCAAATTAAAAAGGCGATAACTGTTAACTCAACTCAGTTAATTTTTAATGAGTTCACTTTTAACTTAAACCAGTTAATTTAAAATGCATTTACTTTAACTTATTGTCTTTCTTTATATAAGTTACGATAACTCATTAATATTAAAATCATAGGGACCGCTTACAATACAAAATGAGAAAAATAAAAAACAATGCCGGCAAAATTGTTTTCCCTTTGAGCGCAAGTGTTTCTCTCTTGTATAATATATTTTGAATACAAAACAGTCTGTTGCTTTTTTATAATAGATTACCTTTTCTTTATTTAGCACAGGTTGATTTAACATTAATGTAACTTTTAAATTAGTTTTGATTTAGATAACTTTTCATTTAACCAAGTTAATTTCATAGACTATTAACTTTAATCTTAAATCAATTGAAAATAAATATTAACTTATTCAACCATGATTAATACATAGTTGGTCGGTTGTTTTCAACATTGACTATCCTTCATTTCCATTTAATTTTCGTTCTTCACGAATCCTTGTCAGAGGAAATAACCCGGCCGACAACGTTTAACCAAGCAAAACACGAGTTTTCTCGTGATCGGTCATAATAATGTGTTAGCTGCCTGTTCATTAATCGACGGATTACTCGGCGGATAAAGCCGTCCGCACCTACAAATGTAAATGCGTGAAAAATTGCCTTTTCATTATCTGCTACGATCTAATGTATAAATATAATGCAATGTAATATAAATATATAATACAAATATAATGTAAATATTTCTGCGATTTTGTAAAATATGAATAGAAATACGAAGAGAACGATTTTTATTATTCTGTTGCTACGATACGTAGGATACGTGCATCGTGCAAAAAACGCGAGATAAATATTAACCGCTGGAAACGAGCGATCACGAACATACCTGATCTTTACGACCATACAATAGCAATTCATTCCGACAAGTCGTCCCAGCACCCGGAGATTTCATTCAGATTTTATAAGAAGGCATCTTAATATCACTTTTTGATTCGGGCGAGAAAACGAGTTTCTTAATGTGAAATGTAATCCCGGAACTGCCGAAGTGCGTAGGCCTCCCGAGATGCCTCGTCATCTCTAAATGTAATTTCCGATCGATGCGATTTACTACATACATATTTTCGTTCTTCCTCCGTTTTCAAATATCTCAAGTCCGTTTCACAGATTCCAATTCCGCCGAGGAGGCGATATCTTAGTCGTTGTTAATAAAAAACCGGCCAAATTTCTCCGGCAGTCAATCGCGCGTGTTTATTCGGACGCATCGTCTGTTATGTTGTGCGAAATTAAATTAAAAATTGAAGCTTGATATACGCGTTAAAAGTGAAACTTGATCGAATTAACAGTCCGGACGCAGTCTCGTAAAAATCTCCCCCCAAAAAAAAACCCCCGAGCCTCCTCTCCGTCGTGAGTATTCATATTCAGCGTTCAAGCCGGCGGAACGTGGAATCTCATTGACTGACGTGAATTATATCGTCAAGTAACGAGGGAGGAGCGATGCGCGCTGAGAGCTTTGGAAAGAAAGTTCGCGCGGTTACATAAGCGAATGGCTTATGCTAATGATCGGGACAGAGAGAGAAAGAGAGAGAGAGAGAGAGAGGGAGAGGCGCATTACGGAGAGGAAGGATCTTCTTCGTGGGAGGATAGAACTCAACTCGATGCCACGCGCGCGTCTTCTTAGGTCTCTTCGACATTCGCGCGCGATCAGCCGCGATACACATTCGTTACATCTACGATGCTCCCCCGAAAGAAAAGAAGAAAGGAGAAGAAACTGCGGACTCACTTCGCGCACTATCGAGAATCAAATTGCTGTTAGAGGCTTGCAAAAGTTTGGCCGGATCGTCATTAATATTATTGGCTCACAGTGAATCTCATCTTACAGGTGTGAGATCAACCGATGACCTGCAATTACTGCCTGAAAGGTGATAAAAAGCGGATAACGATGGCAGATACTTCGACTGAACGTAGACGTGAACTCGATTTCGATAACGAAAGAAGTTATGTATTGGGTCGATGTAAAGGTGTTCGTTCCGACTTCTATTTAAAATATATATGTAATCGTCATCGGCAACACGTTTTGTCGAGATTACTCGCTCCCCCCGCTCTTGCAAAGAGTGATGCTTGCTCGTCCGCCTGAGCTACGATAAAGCTTTAACATTTCCACCACATCGTCCCTCATTAGTCCCGATCGTTCGATAGGCGTACACATTATGACCTGATTATCCGGTTAATCCGTCATTTTGACAACTTGACACATCGTGTCACACTATATTGTGTCACAGGGAACGATGAGTACTAATGGGTCTCGGCATAATGCCGACGCTGAGGCAGCTTCCATTGCGGCTTAACGTACGATCACGGCAAGGATGGTCAGGGTAACAATCGAATAATATTACTCGCGCGTGCTGTTATATTATATAATATTACAGTGTATTATTATCTCGCGCGCACACGGAGATCCTCTCGTGGGACTTTCTAATACATCTGCGACCAAGACACCGCGTTATGTCACGCGCCAACGTAACAGCCGGACCGTCGCTGTATTAGCAGTGTGTACTACCTCGCGCGTAATTACGGACGTTTATCATTAATAATACACAATACGCGCGAGCACCGCAGGCCAGATTACCGATCGCACCGCGGAGCCGA